TTGTAAGGACACTTATGTAATTTAGGTATCCAATATAGCATTGTGTCGTGTATAATAGTTGAAGTACTTTAGGCTTCTTCCATTTTAGTGTAATTCTCTGTAACCGCAAACTGTTTCATAAAAGGGGGTTGGCACGCATGATCGCCGATTTTCCTGAAACTTAGACTAAATTTATAATTAGGTGTAAAATGAGTAAAATGCCCTAAAAACTATTGCTATGCTACTGTTGCCATGGAAACCAAATAAATGGGTTTCCCGTACATTTAGGGCAGTTTAGGAGTGAAACAAATCAACTACTCTTTGCGTTCAAATTGAAGCAAACAAAACTTTGTTTAATGGTACCAATTAAAAAATAAATCCAGAAATATGATACTTTAAAAAAAAAAAAAAACCAGCAATGTCATATCTAAAACATATTGTCACAACTGAAGGGAACTGGTCATTCTTTATGTTTATCAATAGCTGTCAACAAACGAAATTTAAAAAAATTCTAAGACTATGAGTGCCGCGACTTGGTTGGTGGTAACAGAGAACAAATTAAAACTGGTAATTATACCCCACGCAACGAGTTGCGGAGGGTATAATGTTTTTGACCCGTCCGTCTGTCCGTCCGTCCGTCTGTCCGTCCGTCAGTCCGTCCGTCCGTCAGTCAGTCCGTCAGTCCTATTTCTTGTCATCGCAACTCCTCTCAAACCACACAACAGAATTTCACGAAACCTTTTTAGAAAATAAGGACATACTATGTAGTTGTGCATATCGACAGGAAATTACGATTCAATTTTTTTTTTTCTAGGAGTAACGCCCTTTTGAACTTATTTACTTTAATGTACTACTGCAACAGTTTGTCATCGCAACTCCTCTCAAACCACACAACAGAATTTCGTGAAACCTTTTCAGATAATAAGGACATACAACGTAGATGTGCATATCGACAGGAAACTACGATTCAATTTTTTTTCCAGGAGTTACGCCCTTTTGAACTTATTTGCCAAATATACTACTGCAACCTTTGGTCATCGCAACTCCTCTCAAACCACACAACAGAATTTCATGAAACCTTTTCAGATAATAAGGACATACTACGTAGATGTGCATATCGACAGGAAATTACGATTTAACTTTTTTTCCAGGAGTTAAGCCCCTTTGAAATTATTTGCCCAATATACTACTGCAGCTTTTTGTCATCGCAACTCCTCTCAAACCACACAACAGAATTTCATGAAACCTTTTCAGATAATAAGGACATACTACGTAGATGTGCATATCGACAGGAAATTAAGATTCAATTTTTTTTCCAGGAGTTACGCCCCTTTGAACTTATTTGCTTTAATGTACTACTGCAACAGTTTGTCATCGCAACTCCTCTGAAACCACACAACAGAATTTCATGAAACCTTTTTAGATAACAAGGACATACTATGTAGTTGTGCATATCGACAGGAAATTACGATTCATTTTTTTTTTTAGTGTTACGCCCCTTTGAACTTATTTGCTTCAATGTACTACTGCAACAGTTTGTCATTGCAACTCTTCTGAAACCACACAACAGAATTTCATGATACTTTGTAGATAATAAGGACATACTACGTAGATGTGCATATCGACAGGAAATTATGATTCAATTTTTTTTCTAGGAGTTACGCCCCTTTCAACTTATTTGCCTCAATGTACTTTTGAAACAGTTTGTCATCACAACTCCTCTGAAACCACACAACAGAATTTCATGAAACTTTGTAGATAATAAGGACATACTATGTAGATTTGCATATTGACAGGAAATTATGATTCAATTTTTGTTTCTTATACAATTTTTTTTTCTTACACTTATTTTATTTCTCCAATGACAATGTGGGGACGTGGGGTATGTGAGCGCGCTCACTAAGGTTCTTTAATTATAGAAATAGCCTCATATTGGTTATTATCATTATCCGTATGCAGTTTTCTTTGTATAACACAAATGTTACTATCAGTCCAATTTTAGCTTGAATTCAGTGAAATAGTGTTTTAACAAAAGTTCTATGTGTTTTTCTTTGCTAGAAATAGATCATAGAATAAAGTTAAGTAAAGTAGAAGCCAATCTAGCAAGTTTGGTTTTGTTATAGTTATAGAACCACTTATTCGGACTTGGGAGCATTGTAGAACCTTTATCAAAAGTTTCTTTTGAATAATGAGAAAATATATGAAATTTGAATAGGGGTGCATATCTGTCAGGTTGCTCAGATCAGAAGTACCTGTCGTATCTATGCTGAGCTTATTTGTACTGCTACACTTCCGCGAACCAGTGCGCTCTAATATGCAATTACAGGTATGTTGAATTTGTCAGCCCAAGATAGGATAAGGTATAGATAAACTCATCATAGATACCAGGATTAAAATTTATTTTCGACATGAAATGACTGTCACTTTATTTGAACTTACAACAAAATAGCTATAAATGTTTGAAATTGCAGAATTTAACAAATAAAGAAATGGGGCTATGATATAGTGGTTTTATTTCTGAATGTTTAGTATCTTTCGATTTCTATGAGATTTTGATAAAAAATAAAGTGTTTGCTAAAAAATCACAAATTTTGAGAACTTATTGTTCTAAATTGGGAGTAAAAACTTATTTTTCGTTCAATGATAAGTTTTGAGAAAGACGTTTTTGCTAAGATTACAAGACAAATTGATATATTGCAATGATAAGCCTTTCCAAAGTATTTCCTTGTGTGGAATTGGCAGTAGGTGAAAATTGGTGAAAAAGTTGTGCCAAATTTTGAACAACATTTCTGTGCTAGAAATTCAATGAAAAGTGTCCATGTCTCACGCAAAATTAGTCAAGCAGGGTCCTTGCTGGCATAGCAGTTTGTTATAATCACTAAATATACAACTGAATCTCCAGGTGGATTATTTGGTTCAGTTTCAGGGTAACTGTAGTTTTATTGCCTCGCCTGTGGCTAAAGTTGCAGAATGTGAGACATAGGAATTACAATCCAGCTTCTTAAACACTCTGTATTTAGCTTTATATTTCATAGGGTAGAAGACCTGGATGATTCATACCTTGTATACAAATGCCTTATGTTACAAAGATTCTTTTGGTCATATGATCATTATGTTTGGTGTATAAGGGTTCTTTGCAAGGTCTACATATCCTACTGGGATCACCCGACCTTAACCTCATTTCATGGATCAGTGATCAAGGTTAACGTTACATGATTAGGTTCGTTTCTCTGATACTGTAAGCAGTAGGTTAACTATATGTGGTGTATGGAATGATTGTAAGATGTACATGCAAGTCTGCCATTTTTATTTGACCTTGACCTCATTTTCATTGTTAATTCTTGTTAATGTTTAGTTTTTGTGTTTTGGTCTGTTTTTCAAATACAATAAGCAATAGATCAGCTATATGTGGTGTAAGGAATGATTGTAAGGTGTATACGATTGTCTGGCAGAGTTGATCTGACCTCGACTTCATTTCATGGTTCAATGGTCAATGATTAGTTTTCCAGGTTAAGTCTTCTTCTTAGATACTATTAGCAAAAGGTCAACTATGTTTGGTGTATGGAGTGATTGTAAGGTGCACATGACTTGACCTCACTTCATGGTCCACTGATCAATTTAAACTTTTACTGGTCAAGTCTGCTTCATAAATACTATCAGCAATAGGTTAACTATGTTTGGTGCATGGACTGATTGTAAGGTAGACATGTCTGTATGGCATGTATCATATGACCTTGACCTCATTCTCATGTTTCATTGTTTAATGTTGTTTTCATGGTTTGATCAGTTTCTTTGATACTTTAAGAAATAGCTTAACTATATTTGGTGTATGGAATGATTGTAAGGTGTACATGTCTCTCTGGAAGGCTTAATATGACCATTACCTTATTGTTATGGATCATTGATAAAGTTAAGTTTATGTGATACTTGTAGTTAAGCCTTTATCTTTAAGACTTTGAACATAAAATTAATCATGTCAGTAAAGCAGGCCAGACATTTCAGGGTGTGCACTCTTGTTCAGATATCGATTACATTGTAACTCTACAGAATACTTCATGATATAAAATGTTCAAAGTATAACCCCTAAAAAATTTGTAACCTTGATTTCCTGTTCTCAATTAGTTTTGTGTTCAAAGGGGTTTAAGGAATTTTGATGGGAAGAAAATGTGACATTGTAACTTCATCACAGAATTTTTCAAATTAGAAACTTTTCTTTTTAAAAATTTCAGTTGTCTTATGGATGGTTTGACCTTGAGTTCAAGAATCAGTGATCATATTTAAGTTGGCAGTTCAGTTTCACATCTAAGGCAATTTGGTATAAAGCAGACATAATATCACAAAGTGCATGTTAGAGACAAGCATGTGGAAACTAAAATTGAGAATGGAAACTGTCTATATTATAGATTTTTTTTCAATTTAATTAGCCACTGAAAACCATGGATTTATCTAGAAGGTGTGTATGTAGAAGAAAAAGAATGACTACCATTTTAAGCCATAAAAATGAACACAAGATGAACCATGAAGACAATGACAAATAAACTGAGCCATATTACTGTTAATTCAGAAATTAATGCATGCATTTATTATTGTGATTTTTGAGAATGGACAAAAATGTGAGATCAATCATTGCAATTTTAGGAAAATCTGCATACAGCTATATGTATCAGATATCAGAATGCTAGTTTTTAATATTGCAATAATCACCAGTCTCATTTTTTGCATTTATAATAAAAACCTCGTAATAATTTCTGAATTCAAAGTTATTAAGACTTCATAAAAATGCCAAAGAAAGTCTTATGATCAATCACCAGAATTTTTCAAGAAAACTTGTAACTTGTGAAGAACATGCTGAACACTGAAGGTATAATTTTTGTCATAAAAATTCCAGATGAATAAGTGTAACTTGCAGAAATTAGGAGACTACAAATAATGCATGTTGTACCCTTAGACTGTGGGGTACAATTATTTGGGAAAGGAAGGTCAGGAAGGAATAACTACATTTGCCAGTGAACAACGCTATATTTCATTGGGATAATATCAAATTTATCTTTAATGTTAAAAATATCTAACAATTCATTATCAACAATTTATAACAGTCAATAGAAAATAAAAAATGTTATTCCATATTGCATTGCTGTCAAATCTCTTTCATAAATCATGAAAATGTTTGTAAAACTATCCTTTCTTTGTCTACAGTGATATCTGTACTAATGGGCACAAGACTTCTGATGTCTAAAAAGTAATTACCATAGCTACTTTACTTTCTTCTTCTTTGCCTTTTCCTGTAATGAAACATTAATAAATATGTACCCTGATAAGACATTTGAAATTAACACCTTCACTGTTTCAATGTGGACTTGTTTTTTAGATGAACTATCATTTTTATAAAGCTATGGTAAATAAAAAAAACAAACTGACGGACAAGGTTTTGTAGTCATCTTTTTGTAACCTGTTCCATGATTTGATTGGATAGTAATAGCATTTCTTCTCTTTCAGTAATTTGTTAACAAACTTAATTTTGATTTCAAGGTCCACTTAGAAAACAAGCAAACTTACCGTCATTACTCCTTGTACACAAAGTGTGAGTATGCACATAGGGGGAACATATTGATGGATCTGAAAGCTTTCAGAGTAAATGAATCAGAAAATCATTTTTCATACATTGGTAGTGATTTCCCTATATGATTTAAAAGAAAGGAGTATTACAATTCATGCATTTGCAACTGCAGGCTTTATGCTGGCAGTCAGGAAATTGCAAAAAAATAATCAATTGGTGAAATAACAATAATAACTGCCGTTATAATTCCTTTAGTATATTTTCATATAAACCCTTAATACAATGTCGCCTGCTTTTTCCTGAACCTTGTGTGATTCACTTATTTGTCTTAGGTATTTACATGAAGATGAAAAAAGCAATAGTTGGCAGAATAAACACAATCTTCTCTTTCTGTAGCTAGAAATTTTAGCTGTTTAGTTGCACAAAGTTTCTATGTCTGTTTGTATTAATGAAGAGCATAGCACAAACTTAATTCATAGAATGTACTGTCAGTTAACAGAATCCATGAGGGTTTGGATTGGGGTCCTTCATTTCAATTTTCTTCAATTTTTTAGGTCATTTTTCTCTATTCTGTATGTATTTTGCCCTTTATTCTCCAGGATTATAGTTTAGCACCCCATTTTTGCTATTCTTAATTTTTTGACCTGTTATTTCTCTATCCTGTAAACCCCATCCAGACCCTCATCTATTTCAAAGTATGAGTTATTGTCAGTATCATAAATGCAAAAGATAGTAAAAATAAGAAAAAATAATCTTGGCTGGCTCAATTTTTTGGGGAACCACATCACTGATGTATTTTTTATTTGCAAATTAGATTACTTCTGAAGCCCATACTTTTGTGCATATCATAAATTGTTTTTGAATTATGGGAAAAAAATCTTCTATAACTAAAACAGAAATACACTTAAAAAACTGTGTACTGCTGGCTGTATGATATCACATTTTGTAATGTTCTATATAATTTTAATTTACTCCGGAATAACTTACATCCTATACAAAAATACCTTTATTCTGTAGTGTGAAATGCAGAATTTAACACATTTATTGGAAGACACAATGTGTTGTGAATCCATTAAAGAAATAAAACTACCTTAATTTTTGAATCTGTATCTGGACTTTCTCTTTTGAATTTCCTAAGATCAGCAGTGAACAGTACCTTAATATACAATACAATATATATAAAATTTTGCAAACAGGTGCAAAACATAATTTTATTCTAAAATCATCATTTGAAACTATAAGTTGTATAAAACAATGAGGTATCAATCTGAGATTTTAAGTCATGATCTTCAAAAGTTATTGTCCATACAAATCATGATCGACAATATCGAAAAATCATGTTAAAATTAATAGAACCATCTGTGAAAATCACTTCTATACCAATGGTTGTAAATTTCAATTTAGTTTCGATAAATTTCTGAACAAAACTTACAGAATGTGCCCATCCAGCATATGGTCCCCACAAACTTCTGAAATGATCTCCTGTAAAATATAATGGCAGTTATAGAAAAACCAGTGAAATCAATTGTGTTGATGACACTATAATGGAATGCATTGCATTCTATATTTCATTGAACATTCATTTTTGAAAAGCTACTATATAATACTGTAGAATGATTTAATTTGATTACTTCTTAGATTTTAGACTCAAGTGGTTGAAAGAATGACTGACTTTTCCAGAAACAACTCTTTAAATTTTCAACCACTGCCTTCACAGAATGTTCGCTGGTCCTTTAAGTTGAAGTATTGTAGCTCACAGCTAAATTCTATTTGTCCAAAGGGCAAGTTGCTAACAAATATACTAGCTGTATTCCAATTTAACTGGCTTGAGTCCACTGAGCAGGCACATTTTCATCCCTTGTATTGGGAAGATCATTTTATTTATACTTAACAACTTGCCTTTGGTATTGCTTCTATAAAAAGAATTCAAGGTTGACATTTTAATAATTATTTCATTTCTTAGCTATGTGATTTAGTAAATTTCATGCAAATGACAGTTTTATGCTCAGTTTTAAGCTGTCAAAAGGGTATTTATTTATGAAAGGCATGACTACTAACAGATACCCTAAGATTTTTTCCTGTTGACAAATTGAAATAATTTCAAGAAATATAACAGTTTTCTGCTTTGATTTTTAATTGGTGTTGAGCTGAAGGTAAATTTCATTGTGTGGTAGCAAAAAGAATCCTTGTGCAACTAAACAGCTAAAATTTTCAGCTAAAGGAAGAGTATATTGTGTTTATTCTGCTTACCTATTTCTTTATACAGATTATCTGTTAGAGATTTTGACTGTTTTAATTTTGGTATGTAATCTCTTGATGCTATTTGCCACACATGGGTGTCAACTGGAATGGCTCCTGCTTTGTCCATTGACATCAAACAAACACAATCTGCTACCTTAATACAATAAAAAAATATATAAATACATTACTTCAAAAACCGCACTTTTGAAATTTATCATAAGATTGATTTAGTTACATATACATTATTTACCCGGTACTTATTTCATTCTTTTATTTTCACAAAAGAATCTATGAATATCCATTTAAATTTATTCAAGTTTTTTCTTCATAGTATCAAAATCAAATTGCTCAAGTTTTTTTAATTTTAGCCTGTTTGATAAACTTAAGCTTCTTGTGTGTTTAATAAATGCACAGGTCACCTATTAGATCATATTAACTTCAGTATTTCCCTTTTTTTTTATTATGACAAGTAAGGCAAAAACAAGTACATAATCATAATTTTCTCATGACAGAAGTGTTGAGGGACTTATAAAAAGATTTATACAGCTAAATATTTCCTGCAATAAGACACAATCATTTTTAACTGCTTTACTGAAAATGCCAATCCTCCATAAAGTACAAGTAATCTTCATTAAAAAAAATTTGACATAAAATATTCAACAAATGCAAATGCAACAATTTTTTTCTCTCAAAATTTCCCCATTTCAAAATATAACATACCTTAGCACCTACACCATTGAGTTTCATTAATTGCTGCTTTGCTTCTTCATATGGCTTTTCTCTCAAACTAAATAAAAAATCTTCTCCACCATTTTCACTGAGATAATGAGCTGATGAACTGATGTATTTGGCCCGATAACCAAAACCTAACTGTCTCAATTTTTCTTCCACACCTTCTCCTGCCAGTGATGATATGGATGGGAAAGCAAAATAAGCCTGGCCATCTATTTCTGTTATCTTCTCACCATAATTTTCACATAATTTTTCTACCATCGAACTTATTCTAGATATATGGTTATTGGACGAACAAATAAAAGAAAATAAATTTTCAACAGGATGCTGACGAAGCATTCTAACTCCTTGGAAGTTTTCCGATTTCTCCCGAAAATTTGGGTCTTTGTGCGACCATTGTGCATAGAGATCTTGGAGTTTTACAGAGAGCTGTAAATAATCACTCAAAATGTTTAATTCATTATCACATTCGTTTCCTACATTTTCACACCAAATGTATTTTTCTTCAACAGTTCTTGTCATCTTTTCTGTTGTCCCCTTTTTACTTAATTTTCTATGCTTTTTGGTGGGTGGACGTTTTTCTATCTTGGTTTGTTGTTGCATAAAATTACCCTGAGTGGTATAAAAGATCTCATTTTCATTTTGCTTCAGCTTCCACACTCGTCCTGCTAATACCCCAACCCAAGTACCAGGGATATTCTCTTTCCATCTGTAAAATATTTATAATTTTATAAAAGATTAAAAGTTTTCTTAAATCACAATGTTCTCTGTGCATCCTGTATGTACCTTTTTGCATGCATCAGAACTTTATTCATGAAGTTCAGACATATATAATTTCATGCTAAAGGCAATGGTACTTAAAAAAAATTATTTCAAGAATCTGTGTTTTGAATTTAGTTTGACATATAGTGTAGATTTATACATTTCTTAATCATAATTCATCACCATAAAGAAGTAAGATATTGACAGCAATAAAAGCACAGTTCACTTGATATTTAGAGCTTTTTTCCTAATGCTTGTAGTTTAAAGGTTTGGTTGGCTTGCTTGCTTTGTTTGAATAAATATTTGCTCAAGCATTGTAATTAAGATTGACATCTGCAATCAATAGATAGGCGGGGCTTCAGCTTGTATACATTATACTCTGCATTATACTTAACATCCAATAACATTTAAGTATAAAGTATACAAGCTGAAGCCCCACCTTTCTATTGATTGCAGATGTCAATCTTAATACAATGCTTGAGCAAACATTTATAGATACAAACAAAGCAAGCAAGCCAACCAAACCTTTAAACTACAAGCATTTGGAAAATAGCTCTAATCATTGTCCAGTTTTTCATGAGATTTTTATCTCCAGTTTATCCATCCCATATCCTTTCTTTTTGTAATTTCAATATCATTAATAAGATGGATGGAGTTGTTATACATGTACATTAGGTATTTTGCTGCTGAAATTCAAAATAACATTGTCATAATATTATCTTAATAAAATATGAAATATATGGGTAGAAGTCAATTTTAATTTAATTCTTATATATTAGACAGAACATTGATTATAAAAAAACATATAACCAGAAGCTTTGGAAATAGCAATCCTTACCAAATAAACAGAGATATTTTTAAATTTTATTTCAAATGTAAATTTATACACTTTATATAACTATTCATAGTATGAACACAGAAAGTATAAGTTTGACCACTGATATTGGTTTATTGTTCATTGTTACTGTCAATGACTGTTCAGAAAGAACTTCTGTTAGTTGTAACACCACAATTCATCACTTATACATCATATAAACAATCAGGAACAACTGGAACATCTGACAGACTAGTAATAACGTTTACCTCTAACCTTCGAGAGCTCATCAGGAGGTAGCATTTACCTGATATTATGTTATATCATGACACAATGACACGAGGACAAAATCAATAACACATAAAAATAAATATACTAATGAACTTAAAATCGTGATATCAGGTCGTTCCGGCCCCAAGTCCATCCGTCCCCAAGTCAATCCGTCCCAAGTCGTTTCGTCCCACAACAATCTGGACCCATGATAAAATAATGAATAATTTATATTTACATTGGAGGATTTGGTGACATATTTGATTCAGGGTAAATGGAATTTGCACAAAGTATCAATGACTAATGACAGCAGGTAAGTGAAGAATGCCTAATATTTGAGGAACATTCAGATTACTTATTTTAAATTGATACGAAAAGGAGTATGATTGGTACTGTATATGAAGTTATTTTCCATGAATTGATAACTTGGAATATCATGGAAAAAAAAAAGTTTTTACTTAATTCACACATTGAAGAGATTTACAATCCAACGGAACATATAATTATATAATCATCATTATAACTTGTTTAAATCAAATCAATGTCTAAATTGTTTTTTCAACAATTGTTTCAGGATCAGAACCAAAGTAATACCAGTCGTAATCACTTAATTCAATCAAAATCATGACTGATAAAATTTATTTAATCAACAAGGTTTTTATAGTTTGATCTTTTGATGGTACTAAATTCTCTTATATATATATTTTTATTATAATTATGCATACACAATAGTCTTGAAAACTTGTAATAAAAACATAAATCAACATAATTGTTTTATACTGCATAATCATCCCTACTCATTAAAGGTGATAAATTGATTTGAATTCAAATATTTTACATTAAAATAATATTCTATTTCTGTATGAAATCTTAATATAAATATTTGACATATTTAAAAAAAATATTCCAACAAATGTCTTATCTAATGAAAATTCAATATTTAAAAATATATAAAATATTTGACAAAGGCATACTTTTTTACCGTCCACCTTTTTTATTATAATAAAATTCATAAACATTTATGTATGACCATAACACCAACATTTTAGTTGGTGATGATAAGATTCAAATAGGACAGACCCTGTGCTAGTTGGTGATGATAAGATTCATTGTTTGTTATATGCCGATGACTTGGTACTATTGTCAAGTAGTCCAGAAGGACTACAATGTAGTCTTGACAATCTAGCTCAATTCTGTACAGATTGGAAGCTGGAAGTAAATTCTACAAAATCAAAAGTCCTAATATTCAATTCTAACGGCAAATCATTTCAAAACTTTTTTACTATCAACAAATCTTATGTTGAGACAGTTGATAAGTATTGTTACCTTGGGATAACTTTAAAATGCAATGGTAAATTTAACCTTGCCTCCAATTTATTGATGGAAAAGGCTAGAAAAGCTCTATTCAAAATAAAGAAATCTCTTAGTCTGAACAATTCATGTAGACTTTTAGAATTTTTTTTTGATACAATGGTACTTCCAATTTTAGTATATGGAAGTGAAGTTTGGGGTATTGAATCAATTCTAAAAAATACTGAGAATGAACCATTCAAGTTTCATATAAAATTTATGAAAGAAATTCTTGGGGTTCACTGTAAAACTTCCAACAATGCATGTCGCAGTGAGCTTGGTAGACTCCCCTTAAAAGCTAAAATTATGTTATCCTCCATGAAATTCTTAGATCATTTAATCTCATCTGACAAGATCTTAGCTCATGACATTTTTATTAAAACAAGAGAAAACAACCTATGGACAAGTAATATGAAGAAATGTATCCAAAATCTGGGCTTCTCGTATTTAACATCTTTTCATGTACCAATTAAACCTATGCTTGCTCAGATAAAACAACGAATTCATGACCAAATTTTACAGGAACAGAATTCATATATTACGGAATCATCAAAATTATCATTTTTTCAACATTATTGTTTTTCAAATAAACGTGCACACTATGTTGATCAATTGAATATGTTGAAAGATAGGGCACCTTCGGCAAAACTTAGGCTAAGTGCACACAATCTTGAAATTGAAAGAGGCAGGTACCTGCGAGTTTACAGAGAAGAAAGGTTGTGCAAATTATGTCATAATAACAATATAGAAGACGAAAAACATTTTTAAAAATTATGACAAACAATCCAAAACTGAGGATGAATATATTAAACTACTACTTAATAGCAAGTGTAGAACAAAACTTAGATTCATTTTATTCTTTATTAATCAATCATTTGAATTAAGGAAAAATGTCCTGACAAATGAGTAATATGAACATTATGAAGCTATAACATACAATGTATATATGTCAGTAGACTATTCTACATTAACCTATGTATATTAATATATATATAACTGCAAATTTCATTGTTCGAAATGTGCCTATTAATATGTTATGTAGTATTGTTTAATTGATGCATCATTACCATTTGTATACTTATAGTTGTATGGGCCGTTGCCAATTATTGTAATTGAGTTTGTGCCAATAAAATATTTTGTATTTTTTTGTATGTATTACAATTCGTATATATTTTTTTGTATCCCTTATGAATATTTTTTAAATTGGGGCCGCCCGGGCCGGATCAACTTTAAATATAAGAAATGATATGGGGCCGGATCGACTTGGGATGAAACGACTTTGGCAGGAACGACATGAAAGAAAGCAAAATCGTAACTTATTTTTCTAAAAGTTGCGCTTGAAAAATTTGTAATATGGAATTTTTTCCCTTTCAAAAATAACACCTTCTTCATACTATAACACAAAATTAAGCAGAACAAAATAAAAGTAAGAGTGAACATAAATATGGGCAAAAAGTCCATACCATGCCCTAGTCTGTATATGTTAAAATTTCTATTGACACTCAATTAAATAAAATGATTTTCAAACTAGAGCAATGTCGACTTGAGTCTCAGTCTTTCTGTACAACTTGATACCTTGAACAACATTCCCTCCCCCTTTTTTTCCGCGTGCCGTGATACGCCACAACGACTTCAGAAAAATGACAACAACAACAAAAGATTTAAGGTAAGTGTAAACCTGAATGACTGTCCACATGCCAGTGTTTTATCAAGCCGTAATTCTTTGATTGGACACATAAATGACTTGAAGGTTGATTCAATCATGGGCGCAGCCATGTTTTTCTTTTTCACGTACAGTGCGAGATTTATCGTTGTTGCGGGCAACGTTTACAAATGGCGGCCACTGGCCAAGGTGCAGATGATCAAGGTGATTTGTTTGATTCCCCTTTTGTCTTTCTGTTTGGCCCTGAAAAAGTAAACATTTGCAATTCGTCAGTTTATTAATATTAAAATGCACGTCAAAATGTATCTGATCTCCCAATGAAACGCATGACTGACAAAGTAAGACTTGTATGAGAAGGAAATGACATTATGAGGATGCAAGTCTGCAGTTATTTAATGATTTCGGTTGACATTTTGGTATTTTCCCAGGCATTGCCTTGTCTATTCACTGGAGTACCTATAAATAAGTGATAACCCGTAAACAGGTTGGGGAGGTTCCTCATTAAATCATTAAATGGTACTAACTTCTATCCTCATTTATGGGTATTATATATCCCAAAACGGGTATCAATAGACCTTACCACTATTTGTGAATCTGCAACACTTGACCTGAGAAACTGTGACACTTGAATTTGACGTCGTACAACAATCACTTTTCCTTTGTGGCGTCAGACATTTTCTATTGTGACGTCAAAATTTTACGGGAACTTTTTTGTTGTTCGGTAATGACAAAAAAATAGCGATAAGGTGTATTTTCAGTTATAAAAATATGAACTTTGGACATGGGGCAAACATTAGGTTAAAGGACAACATTTTGCCTAAAGACACCATGAGTCTGACTGAAATATCACATACCTGCCAACCCTCCTGTTTTGAGCGGGAGTCTCCCCTGGAATAACCCACGTTCGTAATTCTCTGGCTTTTTCATTACTTTCAATAGAAATAAATAAACAATCAGCTTTCATTTGAAAACTTTGGTCAGTAGTTTTTATGTTAGATATATAAGTAATCCAAATTCAGTTAATTCTGCTATGTCAACTCCAACAAGATAAAGGTCTTTGTCTGGACTAAGCGGCAGTGTAAAAAAGAAGAAATAGATAACTGCAAATCGAAATGTTAAGCAGATTTGAATGAAAGATTTTCAATTTTTACGACCAAGTTCACTTGGCAATGAATCTTTTTGCACATCTTGTTCAAACAAACATTTTTCGATTTCTTCTGGTGGTCTGTACGATGTTTGAAAGCATGCTTAGTGTGAGACTCACAACAAAATCAAAATCTTTAATGTTGTGAGTTATGAGACTTGGAGGTATCGAAAAAGGCTAAAAAAAAAAACACCTTGTATAGATTATAACCATGAATTGAAGAAATATTTAAAAGTATATTTATTAACTCTAATTGGTGTTTTGTAGATGATTATGTAAACAGGTCATATTTTTAACTTGAAAATGTCGTTCGCGCAAAATCTCCCCCTCAGCTATCATAGCTGAGGGGGAGATCTCCCTCTTTGAAGGTTTCAGAGGTTGGCAGGTATGATATCATCAGGATAAAAGTTAACAGCCTTCAAAAAGTAGGATTTTTGGAGGCCATTATCTCAGGGCTGCCAAGTCTCATGCGTTTAGCGTGAGACTCACGCATTTTCATGCTTATTTGGCGGCATTTTCCTTTGATCTATTGTTTTTTCTCTTTGATTTTACGATTTTGGCCAAATCTCACGCATTTGCATTATTAAAAGTTGGCAGAACTGTTATCTTTGTATTTAGTACTCATTTGAACTCTTAAAGGGAAAAATGTTGTCATTTATATGAATATTTGCACCATGACAGGTATCATGATGAAATCATAAATTAGTTTTTTTATCACTGTAAATTGATACCCGATTTTGGGTATAATACCAATATAAAATTAAATGCGGATAGTACCTAATAATGAGGATATTCCTCAACCTGTTAAACATATATTTTATTGCCATGGATTTTGCTATTCAATGAAGTTCAGTAAATTTTTTTAACCTATAAGTTTGTGCATCTTGTTGATGGCCGGCTTTTATGTCGATCAAGGCCCAAGTTGATCTGGCCATGGCCTAAATTTGATCTAGCCCAAGTCAATTCCTTTTCACCAGTTTTAAGCATGTCTTTTAGTCTCATGACAAGTCACTAGTGGAGTAGGAACTCCTGACCCTTCAGAACACCTGAGTTCATACCTGGTTTTTGGTTGAGTTTAATGTCTCCCAATGTGTAGTTGTATATAATATAACTTCTATTTAGTGTTTTGTGGATTGTTGGTTAAACTTTTCATCTTTTGTTCTCTTTTCTATACTAGTATGCACTTACAGCCAAATAAAAGTATATGTGTGGTTCCAGTTACCCCACCGACCCTAGTTTTAACCCCCCGACCCAAGAACTTTTTTTTCCATTTCTGAAAAATAATTTTCGAACGATCCCATTTTGTGGAATGTGAATTTCAATAATTAAATTCACAGATTTCTGTCATCTGAATTTCCATTAGAAGTATATATCCAATATGGCTAAAATGCAACAAAATTAACATATTTGTTTATTTTACTTTTACAACCAAACATATAGAGAAAAAAATTGCCGACCTACCGACCCTATTTTTTTTCAGGATGTAACTGGAACCACACATATATTTTTATTTAGCCTAATTAAAATCAATTGATTGCATAGTTTTCCATTTATTGTAAAAACTTTAGAAGCCACAGTCTGTATTCTAGTCTTTTTGTACTTTCTAGCACAAGTGTAAACTAATATAAAATTCCATAGTAGTTAAAGATATATAACTTCAAAAAAAAGTTCAAAGCAACACTGCAAACAATACACCTAAAAAAATCAAACGCTTAAAACAATTTTTTTGGGGAACAATCTTGTAATTTTCTAATCCTATATGTTTGGACATTCAATCAATTTGAACTAAAATATTAGCAACTGCACAATTTGCATTCTGTATTTCCTTTTAAATATTAATGGAGAAGACATGTACAGATCCTGGGCACACATAATACTATCTACCTACATGTAGGTTCCTTTAAAACTTTTAATTAATAAGTACAAAAACATAATGATCGATCACCAAGAACAATCTGCAAAAATGCAGATTTTATTTCTTACTTTTAAGGGAAAAGTACATATATGTATTATACTTATACACATATATGTCATAACTTTAAAACATCTGCAATTACAGACATTTGTTTGACTACAAATAAAAGTAAAGAGCTACAAACAGACCAAAATGAAATGTTTATTTAGAATCAGGTAAATATCAAAATGATAGTAATAAACTGGATATATCATACAATTTTGAAATATTAATGTTATATTTATGGTTTGAATGTATAATTTTATAAATATAGGTAAAGACCAGTAAGATAGTCTGAAAAAAAACAACAGTCAACATGGTTAGCATACCTGACTGGTCGAAGTTCTCCCGGATCCATGACACCTTAAAAGAGCCGGGGAACATACTGATGAACAAGTACTACAAACAAAGGGAAGAAGAGACCATAAAACTAGCGGAGGAACATGGATACTTCCTGGTCCCAACTCAGGGATACTTAATTAAACATATGGGTCCTTTGAATGGGCGACGTGTAAAGGATACAAACAAAATATATCTTGTGAAGCTTGTTGGTGTTCATATGAGGAAAATTGGAGACATCTCATATTGTATTAACTTGAGGATCTGCATCTTGCATAATAATTTCTTAACAAAAATTGATGGCCTTGCAACCTGTCGTCAATTGATTAAGCTGGATCTTCATTCAAATCAGGTAAAATTAAATATGTTTCTTGGGCATATTTATATGTGAGGAGGTTATGTTTCTTATCTTATGCATTTCTTCGTAATTTACTGACATGAAAATATTTATGCATTATTGATGGAACAGTTATTCAGTTGTATATATTTATAAACCTTGTCCGATTAAGGATAAGATTTATAAAACAAAAACAAACTTCAATACATTTATTTAAAAAAATATGTTCGTGGTAAATGTGTAGCAATGTACATGTAAAAACTATAGAGATGAGACCAAACCAAGAATAGCATTAAACTTATTATTTTGTATATGAAATGACAAGGGGAAATAATTAATGTAGTAGCACATACAACTTGTAATGGAGCATTTTCTGATCGACCTGGGTAGAGAAGTCACAATTATTAATTTGCATGGTAATAAATAATGAATAATTATGAATTGAACATTTCTACATAGTTTTCCCTATGTTTTTCTCTAGTTCAACATGTTCAACTTTTAACTTGTCTTGAATTAATAACTGTCACTTGAAGTAACTTAATATGTTGGTCTTTCTGCAAACTTTGAAAAAAGCATTGAAAATTCCATTTGTTGCCAGTGATACAGGTAAATTTTCAAACTCTGATTTTTGGCAACACTCTGTTCAGAAGTTTGCATACATTTGCATTTAAATTAAATATTTGCTTCTCATGCTTTATTGAAAGCTGAAAAAATTGATTTAGCAAAAAAGGTAGAAGAAAAGCAATATATTTATGTAGATATATTGGATGACCCGACTATTTGTTATTTTATTAAACATGTGATTGAATATACATATATGTATTTTAGTATATGTGTAACATGTATATGGCTTACAAATTTTTCAGCTTACATCTGTACCAGGGATTGCATTTTGGTCATCACTGAGGCATCTGAAGTTTTTATTGCTGCATGATAATCCTCTAGGGAAGTATGAAACATTACAAAACATTGCTACATGTCCAAATCTTATGGGCCTTACATTGTATGATACACCACTTGGATTGAAGAGAAATTATCGGCACCATGTTGTCAACAGTATTTGGTCACTTAAGGCCTTAGATCATTATGTTATATCTGATGAAGAGATAATTGAGGATGCAATATTTGGAGGAAGATTTTGTACACAGAATGAAGAATTTAAGATCAACCTTTGCCCACCATGGTACGAGGTAGGTAAAGTTTGATATGAACTGAAATGATGTAATTCAAATAGATAATACAATGAAAGCGAAAAGTTGCTTATGATGAAATACCAGGACAGGTAATAGATCAGTAGTAAATCAACAATGGCAATGTGAAAAAAAACCCAAAAAGTATTAAGGATTAATCATGAAAATAATAATACTAACATGTACAACTTTTTACCAAAATTGATCGCCCTGAAGATCATAAAAAACATTTTATTAAAATAAAGTATGTCAATAAAGGTTTTGATTTTGTAAATATTGCCGGTATTTTTAACGACCATTCTGTTAAAGAACAAATTCCTGGATATTTTGATAATACTGAACTCCCTCTTATTTGTTATATTTACAAGAAATCTACCCGGAAATTTGTGTTTAATTATAGCCAAGTCTGTAAAGATGTAAATATCAGTGAAAATACACCTACGTCATGTAATTGTAGTAATTCAGAATACACTTATGGCCCCATTTCCCATGTTATAACAGGAGACCTTAACATCGTTCGCGGCCGAGAGTTAAAATCATTCCTCAGTAAAGGACCTAAATATCGTCCCCCGTCAATTATTAAATGGAATGAGTGTCGTAATATCATCAACGACTCACTTTGTGCTTATTGTTTGAAATGGATAAAACAGGAAAAAGCTGACAAAAAATCTTTGGACTCTTTTTGTCGAGCCTTCGACTTTTGTCGAAAAAGCGAGACATAGCGATCCTACATTCCTTCGTCAGCGTTGTCGTCGTTGGCGGCGTCCACAAATATTCACTCTGTGGTTAAAGTTTTTGAAATTTTAATAACTTTCTTAAACTATCCTGGATTTCTTCCAAACTTGGACAGAAGCTTGTTTATGATCATAAGATAATATTCAAAAATAAATTTTATAAAAAAAAAATTCCATTAAAAGCTAGTATCTAGAAGGAAATTTTGTTAAAATTTTGTTCCATTTTTTCCGTATTTTACTTATAAATGGACTTAGTTTTTCTTCCAGTTAACATTACATACAGTGTGCAGTTTAAGTTTTTAAAACATTTCTTAGATTCATAAACTATCCTGGATTTTTACCAAACTTGGACAGAAGCTACTTACAATCAAAAGATAGTATAGAGAGGAATATATTTATTAATTTTTTTCCTCATTTTTGTTGAGCCTGTGATTAACAGCAAAAGTAGGCGAGACACTGGGTTCCGCTGAACCCTTACGAATTTTTTTAATTCAGTAATGAAGATAGTTGATATACGTATACAACATTTTAAAGAACATTTTACTCTTAACAACAACCATAAAAATCCTATTTCTCGTATCAAAAATAAACTAAAAGAACTAGCCAAGGAATTTGTTTTTGTCCTGGCTGATAAAGCTGCTAATAATATTATTATAGTTTGACGTAAATTTTACATTGAGGTTCTGCAAAAGGAAATCACCAATTCACCAACATTCCAACTGACTTCATTTTCAGAAAACGATATCTGTAACAAACATAAAGTATTAGCTACTTCTTTACAAGCAGAACCAAATACACTGAAAGTCCCAACTATGTACTGGCTTCCGAAGCTACACAAATCACCTTACAAATATAGATTTATTTCGACTTCAAGTCATTGTTCCACTACTAAATTGTCTATTCTACTTACTAGTACACTTGGTACAATCAAAAACCTGATAATAAATTGTTCAAATAAGGCCTTTGAAAATAGTGGAATTAATTACTTTTGGAGTGTCAAAAACTCGTTGGAAGTACTTGATAAAATGCATGCATATATTGGTGATTTTGAATCGGTTCAAAGTTTTGATTTTTCTACCCTATATACCACTTTGCCTCATATTCTTATTAAGAAAAAATTCACACAACTTATTAAATGGGCATTTAAAAAGTCGGGATGCGAATACATATGTTCAAACTCTTTTAGGTCATTTTTTAGTAGCAACAAACAAAAGAACTATGTCAATTGGACATGCTTTGATACTATATCTGCCCTTGAATTTTAACTTGATAACATTTTTGTTCGCTTTGGAGATTCCGTATATCGTCAAGTTATCGGAATTCCAATGGGGACTAACTGTGCACCACTTATTGCGGACCTTTTTAAGCTCACCTGGCCGGAAGGGCCAAGTGAGCTTTTCTCATCACTTGGCGTCCGTCGTCGTTAACTTTTTACATTTTGAACTTCTTCTAGAGAACCACTGAATGGAATGAAACCAAACATGGCATGAATGTTCCTTATGAGGTGCTGACCAAGTGTTGTTACTTTGAAGCTGATCCATAATCCAAGATGGCCTCCAGCGGGGGACTTAGTTTAACATGGGACCCTATGGGAAAAACATACAAATGTCTTCTTTTAGAGAACCACTGAATGGAATGAAACCAAACATGGCATGAATGTTCCTTATGAGGTGCTGACCAAGTGTTGTTACTATGAAGCTGATCCATAATCCAAGATGGTCTCCAGCAGGGGACTTAGTTTAACATTGGACCCTATGGGAAATACATACAAATGTCTTCTTTTAGAGAACCACTGAATGGAATGAAACCAAACATGGCATGAATGTTTCTTATGAGGTGCTGACCGAGTGTTGTTACTTTGAAGCCGATCCATAATCCAAGATGGCCGCCAGCAGGGGACTTAGTTTAACATGGGACCCTAAGAGAAATACATACAAATGTCTTCTTTTAGAGAACCACTGAATGGAATGAAACCAAACATGGCATGAATGTTCCTTATGAGGTGCTGACCGAGTGTTGTTACTTTGAAGCCGATCCATAATCCAAGATGGCGGCCAGCGGGGGACTTAGTTTAACATGGGACCCTATGGGAAATACATACAAATGTCTTCTTTTAGAGAACCACTAAATGGAATGAAACCAAACATGGCATGAATGTTCCTTATGAGGTGCTGACCAAGTGTTGTTACTATGAAGCTGATCCATAATCTAAGATGGCCGCCAGCGGAGGACTTAGTTTAACATAGGACCCTATGGGAAATACATACAAATGTCTTCTTTTAGAGAACCACTGAATGGAATGAAACCAAACATGACATGAATCTTCCTTATGAGGTGCTGACCAAGTGTTGTTACTTTGAAGCTGATCCTTCATCCATGATGGCCGCCAGATGGGGACAATGTTTAACAAAGGACCCTATGGACAATACATACAAATGTCTTCTTTTAGAGAACCACATACTGAATGGATTGAAACCAAACATGGCATGAATGTTCCTTATGAGGTGCTGACTAAGTTTTGTTACTTTGAAGCTGATCCTTCATCCATGATGGCCGCCAATGGGGGGACTTCCTTTAACATAAGACCCTATGGGAAATACATACAAATGCTTCTTCTAGAGGTGCACTGAATGGAATGAAACCAAAATATGGCATAAATGTTTCTTATGAGGTGCTGATGAAGTGTTGCTACTTTGTTGCCGATTTACTGTTCAAGATGGCCACCAGGATTTTTTTATTAAATTAAAGAGATGATTTTTCATTTCCTATTGTTACATGTAATTATCCATTTTTAGATGGTGACGTTCCCTTGTCACCATCTTATGGTGTTTATATATCTCAACTTGTACGATTCGCTCGTGTATGTAACAGCGTATTAGATTTTAGCTAGAGAAATTTATGTTTTACTGAAAAATTATTACACCAGGGTTTTTCGATATCATAAACTAGTCAAAGCATTTACTAAATTTTATCATAGGTATAAGGACATCATTCGTAAATATAACTCAACATGCAGATATCTTATACGTTCGGGTATTTCACATCCAATCTCTTATGGTAATATTCTTTACAAAGCACAAAAATGTCAGTATTCACCTCAAAAGCTAACAAAACCTTTAAACAGACTTATTAAGAAGGGATATAGTTACGATACTGTTGTCAGGTCATTAAAGATTGCATATTTTGGCTTTAATATTAATTCACTTATAGGGTCTTTGCATCGGAATTAAACACATTTATTCTAAAACCAGTTGTTGGCATGACACGAGTTATGTTCTTCTCATATATTTTATGACGGTATAATACTAAACCCCTAACAGGAGGGATTGTGCCTGATATTCATATGATGAAGACATAATCTTTTAATCAGTTTAATTGAGGTCTGGAGCTGGCATGTCAGTTACTGCTAGTAGTCTGTTGTTATTTATGTATTATTGTCATTTTGTTTATTTTCTTTTGTTTCCTATTCTGACATTGGACTCGGACTTATATTGAGTTTTACTGTACGTACTGTTGTGCCTCTGTTTTTTCTACATTGGCTAGAGGTATAGGGGGAGGGTTGAGATCTCAAAAAACATGTTTAACCCCGACGCATTTTTGCGCCTGTCCCAAGTCAGGAGCCACTGGCCTTTGTTAGTCTTGTATCATTTTTAGCTCACCTGGCCCAAAGGGCCAAGTGAGCTTTTCTCATCACTTGGCGTCCGTCGTCCGTCGTCGTCGTTAACTTATTACATTTTGAACTTCTTCTAGAGAACCACTGAATGGAATGAAACCAAACATGGCATGAATGTTCCTTATGAGGTGCTGACCAAGTGTTGTTACTTTGAAGCCGATCCATCATCCTTGATGGCCGTCAGCAGGGGACTTAGTTTAACATAGGACCCTATGGGAAATATTTACAAATGTCTTCTTTTAGAGAACCACTGAATGGATTGAAACCAAACATGGCATGCATGTTCCTTATGAGGTGCTGACCAAGTGTTGTTACTTTGAAGCCGATCCATAATCCAAGATGGCCGCCTGGGGGGGGGGGGGGGGGGCACTTAGTTTAACATAGGACCCTATAATGGGAAATATTTACAAATGTCTTCTTTTAGAGAACCACTGAATGGAATGAAACCAAACATGGCATGAATGTTCCTTATGAAGTGCTGACCAAGTGTTGTTACTTTGAAGCTGATCCATCATCCAAGATGGCCACCAGCTGGGGACAGTGTTTAACAAAGGACCCAATGGACAATACATACAAATGTCTTCTTTTAGAGAACCACTGAATGGATTGAAACCAAACATGGCATGAATGTTCCTTATGAGGTGCTGTTGTTACTTTGAAGCCGATCCATCATCCAAGATGGCCGCCAGTGGGGGACTTAGTTTAACAAAGGACCCTATGGGAAATACATACAAATGTCTTCTTTAAGAGATCCACTGAATGGAATGAAACCAAACATGGCATAAATGTTTCTCATGAGGTGCTGATGAAGTGTTGCTACTTTGTTGCTGATTTACAGTTCAAGATGGCCACCAGGATTTTTTATTAAATTACATGGCCAATATTAAACCAAATTTGGCCTCACTCATTATTAGGGTATCTGTTATGATTTTAATCTATTTTAACATGATTTCCAAAACCAAAGAAGAATCAGGTGAGCGACACAGGCTCTTGAGAGCCTCTAGTTAATTTTAGTTTCCTGTGTATAATTTGGAGTTTAGTATGACGTCCATTATCACTGAACTAGTATACATATTTGTTTAGGGGCCAGCTGAAGGACGCCTATTTATTAAAAAGCCAAACACAATACTGGTCTGGTCATCTGTTTTGATAATTTTCTATGTTTTCTATGTATTGTCTGCGTTTTTGTCCCATGTACATTTACTCCATATCCTTTCATTTTCTACAAGTGGTGAATGTAGGAGTCTTATCAATAAATTGAAAGAAAGTGAAATTTGTCAATTTCAAAAAGCAAATTATGCCATAGTCATTTAGTGGGATGGTTCTTCACTCACAAATATGATTAACCCTGCCACATTCTTTATGTGTCTGTCTCAAGTCAGGAGCCTGTAATCAGTGGTTGTCATTGGTTGCTATCTGTTATAATTGTTACTATAAAAATAAGAAGATGTGGTATGATTGCCAATGAGACAACTCTCCACAAGAGACCAAATGACACAGAAATTAACAACTATAGGCCTTCAACAATGAGCAGATCCCATACCGCATAGTCAGCTATAAAAGGCCCTGAAATGACAAATGTAAAACAATTCAAACGAGAAAAATAACGGCCTAATTTATGTACAAAATAATGAACAAAAAACAAATATGTTACACAGCAAAAAACATCAACCACTGAATTACAGGCTCCTGACCTGGGACAGGCACATACAGAATGTGGCGGGATTGAACTAGTTAGATGGCGCCAAACCCTCCCTTTAACCTGGGACAGTGGTGCAACAGCACAAAACAAGAACACACATACAAAACAATAAACGAAAAACAAATATGATAAAGTGTAACAAACAACAACCACTCAATTACAGGCTCCTGACTTATAGAATGTGGTGGGGTTAAACTAGTTTGAAGGCGCCAACTCTCCCTTACCTGGGACAGTGGTGTTACTAGTTTATTATTTTTAGGATAACTCAGGCTTTTTGTTTTCTATTTGAACTGTTTCACATTTTGTCATCTCTGGGCCTTTTATAGCTTACCATACAGTATGAGTATTGCTCTTTGTTGAAGGCCATACTGTGGCTGGGGGTTGATGACATGTACCTCCTCTGCCTTGGGTCTCTTTTTGATAGTTGTCTCATTTTTATAATTATACCACATCTCAATATTTTTGTTTTGTGTATAAATTGCTACATTTATCTTTTTAATTATTAGGATGGAACATTTGAAGAAGAAATGGCTCTTTTACGGAGGACAGAAGCAGAAATTAATAAAATTATGGCTCACCATTCACCAGTCCTGATAATACAAAGACACATTAGAGGCATTTTAACAAGAAAAAGGTAAGATAAAATAAGATTATCTTTTATTTGACTGCTTGAATAAAAAAATTTATTACATGTTAATGTAATGATATACAGGTTGCTAAAAGCATTTTAGTGTAAAAATAAGGAGATATGGTATGATTGCCAATGAGACAACTATCCACCAAAATTCAAATAAAGTGGATGTAAGCAATTATAGGCCTCTGTACGGCCTTCAACAATGAGAAAAACCCATAACGTATAGTCGACTATAAAAACCCTTGACATGAAAAATATGAAACAATTCAATTGAGAAAACTAACGGCCTAATTTATAACAAAACAATTTAAGAAAAAAAAATATAACAGACATTTTGACTGTATTTCTGACTTTTAGTTACCAAACACATGCTTAAACCAATGCATATAGTTTTTTTTCCATAATTCATAATGTTTTTTAGTTCATCAAATATGTCTTTTTAAAACAAAATGTATTACATAATATAACTTGGAGAAGAAAAGCTATTCAGTGGTTAACCTTAAACCGATGAAATCTAGGAAAATTATGACCCCACAAATGAGCATTAAAATCCACAATAATTTATGTGAAAGTACAATTTGAATTTGACCTAGGAGTATTCAAATGATTTTAAAGAATAGAAATCAATATTGCTCATCAAGTAAAATAACTTGCTTTAGAAGAATTTACTTACGATTTTGAATGTTTCCAACTAGAAAGAACCATAACTCTGGAACGGTAAAAATTAAAATTAAAAATAATGAAACATAGCATGTCTTTAGTGGTCCAAAACATTCCAAAAAGTGGTCTGTATTTAACATCTGGAAACCCCTAACAATTGAATTTTTCCAACAATAAAGTACAATAACTCTGGAACAGTACAAGTTAAAACAACGACCATGTCTTTAGTGGTCCAAAACATTCTATCAAAATTTCAATTAATTTCAAAAGGGATCTATTTATCATCTGGAAACCAAAAGTGTAATGGTCAGGCTGATAGATGGACAGGAGGATTCTTATTATCCCCTGACTCTGTCAAGCAGGGGTATAATGAAAACAAGATTTACTGAAAAATGTGTATGTTTTACTATTCACATTTTATATTTGCTTTAAGGTTTGGCAGCTTTGGACAGAAATCCAAAGGTTACAGATCAGTTGAGATGCCTCATTCCTCTGATGCAGTACCTCCTCCACCCTCAACTTCACCTGCATTTACCTTATGTAACCAGGATTTATCTGTAGGAACCAGTGCTGAATTTGACACCTATAACAAAAATCGTAGACCAGATTCCTCAGCACCAAGTGATGTAACAGAAGTACACACTTCTTCAAAGGTTAATATATAAACTTATAAGAAGTTTTATATTTTTGATAAACCATTTTTTTAGAATAACAAGAAGAAGGACTTCTTGAAGTAACTGTGCCATTGTGATACCTACTTTGAAAAAAATAGGAAGATGTGGTATAATTGCCAACGAGAGGACTATCCACCATAGTTAAAATGATGTAGATGTAAGCAAATATAATAAGGCCACTGTATGGCCTTTAACAATGAGTATGTTTATCAGCTGACATCAAAGATCAACAACACTTGAAATGACCAACATTCACCTAAACTAATATAAACAAATTGTCATAAAACCATTCCGAATACAGCCATAGAATAGAATAAATCTATAGTTTTTTAAATTGTATAATCTGCACTTACAGAGTATTAAAAGAAATGTTAAAAAATTATTGTAGCTGTTGTTGAAATGATTATAAAATGTTATTTTAACACATTATACTGAACTTTTGACTTCACTTCATTCCTGTTTCAAATTGAATTAGAGGCCCCTTCCCCCCTCTACCTTGGAATTTTTACATTCTTTAGATTATTCTGGTTTCTGATTAGGTGTGTTTGTAAAGTACCCAATAGTATACATTGATTTCACCATTGATATTTAGTTTGTTGTTCAATAAGCATCATTTCTCTTCATTTTCAAGCAGAATTAAAACAGAAAATCTTGCTAAAGCATCTAACAATATAATACTTCTGCATCTACCAACACTGCCTGAAACAAGAAGTAAATAGAAAAAATGATGGATGTATAGAAATGCATGTCTTTAATTGTAATAATGGTTAAAGATATGAATATGATATGAATTAGTTCAATTTATAGGGCCAAATTTAGGCTTTCCTTGCTCTGCTCTATACTGTTTTATGTTTTTGCCGGAAAACAGTAAGTGAATTGTCTATGTTAACAGTTTTATTTATTATTTATACATTAATTTGAAAATTTTCAAACAAAATAATAATTGCTTGTATCTGCAAAATTATTAAAAATACAAATTAATTGTTTCCTTAGCATATAATGGTCTGCTCATCCGTTACATGTATTTATAAGTGCATAACAAATTTTGCTTGCTCTCCATTAGTTTAATAAATTAATTAACAACAACATAATTTAGTGTAAGCCTAACCAGAGATGTATATTTTCTCATTTTAGGTGAATGAACCCTACCCTACACCACAACCTCAAACACCTCGAACCCAAGATGAAATTGAATCTCCAAAGAAGAAGAAGAATTTACTGATAAACCTAGCTAAGTTACAGTCTGGAACTTTTTCAACATTGTATGATGAGGCAATTGCCATAGAAACTATTTTACCAGAACTGACCTTTGAAAGTGTTTCTACCCCTGCAGAGACAAAGAGATATAGGAGAAGAAAGAAATCTGAGCAGCAGAAGAGAATTGTGAAAAGTGTAAAGCAGTTTTTTGGACCAGTTGTGGAGTCAGCAGATCAGCAGGAACCTGAGAAAGAGATTGATGATGACACACCTTTAACACAATATCGTCTGAGGGGTGTCCGTCCAGAAACAGGATATATTGATGCTAAAACTCAACTCATTTTATCTAACCAGGAAGCTGGGAGGATGGTTAGGGATGCTGAAGATGAAATACACATAAGAACTAATAATATGCCAAGACCTAAAATTTCACCAAGAAAAAACATTAACACTGACCAAAGAATTTTTGCTCGTGTCCACGGCACTATGGGTATTTCTAGTTTGCTAGCTGTGCATCAGGCTTATAGAGATAGAGAAAAAGCAGAAAGATCTGCTGCAAGAATAGAAAACATTTTAAAGTTACATGATGAAAAAGATCGAGCAAAGGAAAGAATTAGATTGTTTAATGAAGAAAAAAGAAACCAAGCTTTACGAAAAAGAGACCAAGAAAGAGCTAATATGTTAGAAGCTTTAGAAAGACGTGAAATTAGAAGGCTAAGTTATTTAGATAAAAGGCATGATATTAAAGCAAGGTCATCAGAAATGTCAAGAACATTCAAAGCTGACTTTACCTTTATTACAGAATTCAGTACCCAGCATACATCTGTATCAAATGCTTTAATGCGACATGACAAACAAACAAAACAGGAAGATCGTGTTGCAGCAAAATCAGATTTGGTTTCGAATTTGAAAACAACAAAACAAGACCAATCAGAAATAGTTAAAAAGTACCTAGAGCATCGTCAGCTAATGAGGCAGACAGAATCATCATTGGCAAAAAATGAACTTGATTCCAGGATGCTACAAGAAGCAAATGAAAGAATCATGGAAGCGAAAACAAGGGTAGCTCAACAGAAGCAAAGAAAAGAGACTGTTAAAACCTTTTATCCTCTCCCTCAAACAGTAACTCCTGCACCAAATATAGACAGTTCTGATAGGCTATCAGCACCTCCTCGATATACTCCAGGTGCTACTCATTATGAGGCAAATGCTTTACTAGCAGAAGGACGGATTGGAAAACACCATACAATGATTTTATGAGATCATACTTTACCCTTCCTTTCATGTATTGTGCTCAGATTCACCTTACTTTGTTCATGATGAGCAAACTGTGCATACATTCAAGTACCAAAATGAGTGCTCACTTGAAATTTGGTAAATATTGTGAAAGTTAATTTCTCGTACAGGTATGATTTTTTTAAGAATTCATGCCAGGTGGAAGAGTACAATAATTTGCTCTTATATTAATAAAAAAGAAAAATCTTTCAATCATGTGAGAATAACCTCCATGTTAAATTTAAAGTAAAATAAATCACCAAAATAACACGAAATGAGAATATTAAAGAAAATTGATACATGTGTATCTTTAGTCGTACATTGCTATCATATTTGTTGTATTTATCAGGGTACATATATATACTTATTTAAAGTCAAAACTTATATTTAAGCATTGAATTTTCGTAATGAATAGTCCTTATTAAAAAAAAGTTTGATTAATTATGAAAATAAGAAGTTAAAACTTTTCAAACTTAAGAGCATAATCCAGTGAAAAAAATTAAAGATAATTTTTCTCTTATGATCAATTCTAATTTTTATTGGGATGTAGAGATGATGTATCACTCTTACTTGGATGTGCAAATATGATTAGCTTGTGAAAGGCATAATGTGTTTTGTAAAATCAGTATTGTTTGACTTTTTAACAAAAAATTACCAAAATTATAAGAATTGACTCTCATTATATTTTCAAAATGCATCACATATTGACCAACCTATTTCACCAAACTAATATAATTTAACTGTGATTAGTTAATTTTCTAATGATTAATTTCTTTCTTTCCCAAAAAATGAGTTCAGAAATTTAAATTAAAAAAAAATGTCTGCCTTTACAAGTTTCAAAATAAGTTGAATGAATGTGAATAATCTAGAATTTGTTTTTTTTTGTTCCTATAAAAGTAGATCAATATTTAAGGATAAAAAAATCTTGCCAAAATCAAGCTTTAATTGATATAATTAGTGATAGTATGTTTTACATTGTATGATTAAGATAGTCAACTACATACATTTTGTCAGTTGTTCAATCTCAAGCTTATTCAAAACATTGTAATTGTTGGCCATAGCATAGGTATTAGGTTTAGAAAAACATATCTTACAGTTGTCTTTGGAAAGCTTAAAGTCAAAATCAAATTGACATTTTTTTTTTTTTTTAATTACAAATTACCGGTATGTTGTTTTTTTCTTTAATTACTATGGGAAAATCTTTCAAGAGATTTAAAACTTTGTAATGTTCAAATGAATTCCATAGCTGTCAAGACTTGATAGTGAAATGATTTATGGACAATTTTGTATTGAAGTCCAAGATTTATATGTTGTCACTCAGATTTTTGTATTCTTAAAGGATATTATCACAATATAATCATTTTGTGCTGGTACGACGTTAAGCAATCATCAATCATTGTAAGGAAACTGGTTTATTTTATCAGTTTTAAACTTAAACAAATGTTGTAGGCCATGGAAATGATATGTTTATTGATTCTAAAGAAAATAAAAATTCACACCAGGTTATGCTTTAGTGTTTATTTTTTAAAGTTGTAATTTAAAGCTTTTAATAGTACATTTATTTAACTGTTTAAAGTACCCTATGAATGTTGTCTACTTTGTTGTATTGAAGTACTTTAATATTATCTGATTATTACTCTTGTCATATTGAAAATCAGTATATTACTCAAATCTGCATAATACATAATGTAGTCCAATAATCAAACTTTTATTTTTAAATACCATCAACATCACCAATCTACTTGAAGATAATTTTGTATACGTTGAAAATTGTCTATAAATAAGTCAATCAGTGAGCCAAAATAGGTGAAATATATGTCAAAGTTCATAAGTGTGCATGTTCTTATGTAAAAAATTACATTTGTAATATGATTAAATTATGAATTTTATTGAGAACGGTAATTTATTTTACAAAATTTAAAAATGGAGAAATCATTGTCATATTTTATTTTCAAGCTTCATTGTTTTCTTCACCTAGCATATGTAGCAGGATAGTAAATGAAATACAAAACCATGAACGTAATTCCTTTTTATCATTTATATTTTTATAAGTTCTTTTTATAAAGACCTGCAAACCAAGGTTATTTTAAAAAAAAATTTTTGGATTTGAAATTTTGATCTAATGCAAGATTTTGTGATCTCATTTTGTTTTGTTTCTTTCATTTGTTACACATTTTCTTTGCATGCTCACAAATTCAGTTTTATTGGATACAAGATTTACAATAATAATGTAGACTATTGTACTTCTATCATTTTATCAAGTGAATGCTGTTACTCTGGCAAATGAATTGACCAATGTCCATTGCTACTGTAGTGTATATACACTTAAAATCTCTAAACAGTGGTACTTATATGACTGCTAGACCACCATAGGTTACTTGGATTTTTTAAAAACAATCATACAGTCTTTTTGACTTATTAGAATACTGCATTACTGAAATTGTTATTGGTGCTTCCTGTATAAAGCCATAATAGCATTTGATATTGATATAAGTATTAGTAACCATTATCACAGTGCCTTATTCATTGAGCTATACGAATAAAAATTTAAAAAAAAAAACATGATTATTTTTAACCCTGTATTCTTAAGTCTTATGACATTCTCTTTTTTCCCCTTGATATTATACATTCCATTGTCCTCATACATGTCAGAATTTGTGTGAAATACTATTGCAGGCCTATATATCAGGAAAAAAACATGTGTACAACCAAATTGTTTGTTTTGTTTGTTAACTATTAATGACTGGTTGTAAGTAAAACAATGTTTAGTAACACACTGGTCTGTTTTCCTTTAATTCAAATATGATTGTTTTTGTCTTGCCTTCTACAAGAAGCAATAGAGGGAGAGGCATAGAAATTACTTTTATGGTTGCATTGTAGTAGACATTTGTGAATACTTTGTGACTAATTCCTTCTTTCACACAGGTCAATCAAAATTTAAAAAAAATGTATCTTATGATGTGACCTTCTCAGTATGTCATTGCCCCTAATTTTAGCCTAATTTTCTTGCTTTAGTCATCAGGTTTATAATTTTTAGGATTCTGTTTATCAGTCACTTTAAATGCTAGATCAACAATACATGTATTTCTGGTTAGAAGTGTATGTCGGTCTGATATATATATCTTATGGCATTGATATTTTTGTTATGCTCCATTGCTAACAAGATTTTTTATGTTTATTCATTATAAAGAGTACTCGACTTGTAACTAGATGAATGTCATTTGTCCTTGACCTCAATATCATAGTCTAGTGATCTTCCCAATAATTTTTATAGTGGTGTTCAATTAGAACAGTTGACAGGCCAGAAGTTTTTGTGTCTTGTCAAATTAATGCAGGCGCTAACTATTTTCTTTGTTTTGTTAAAAAAAGTTGTATTTCAATTGTTACAAAATATTGTAAATATGTATATAATAGTTCATTAACAAAATTGTACTCATTTTACTTGTTTATGTATTGTGTGTTAGATTAGTAATTAATGTTAGTCAAAATAACTTCTAGTCTATTTATATGTATATCATATTTATGAGTGATACCTGCTTAAATTTATATTTTTGCTGAAAATTGCAGACAAGCAATATATTTTATCATTGTGATTTTATTTAGTGCAGGCTCTTTTTTTTATACAATATCAGTAGACCTTTAACAAACATTTAAAATTATTGAGTTAATAGATGATATTAAATTACAAAAATTAAGTATGGATTTGTATCTCAAAAGACAATTATAACTCAAAGTTTTAAGTTTGAGTTAAACTTGAACAATACTTTTTTTTGTACAAGGCAAAAGCTCATGGCAAATAAGTTTATCATTACACACCTATTTAACATAAGTATAAAATCATATTTAAAATTGAACATTTCTATTACAATTTGCTGTAATCACAGTTGTGTAATTACTTAAATTTAAAAGCATTTTAGTTTCAGTTCTGTTGAAATTGGAATACAAAGTTTATGCTCAATATACCTAGTAATAGTCTACTGCAAAGTATTAATGTTTTGATATAAATTAAACAAAAAAATATCTACAAAATCTCATTTACTTTTTACAAATTTTTCTGCATGCTGAAAAAAAAAAGGGGGGGTGGGTATTTTAAGCTAACCACACACATGTAAAAATAATGATGAAATTTTGAATTTTATAAAATATTTAGTCCTGAAAATTTTCAGTACAATTATCATGCTCAGACTCAGAAATCAGCCAATCAGAATACTGGATTTGGTGTTCTGAGTACAAATTTTGCATGCTCAATTCAAAATATGAGAATTTTCAGTTTCCTTTCTCTTGTTAAGGTAATGGAGAGCACAAATTTCTCAAGTTATTTACAAATGTATCTAAACTTTATTTGCATCATAGCACCTCATTATTAATTTGTGATCTACATAGTTTGAATGTACACCATTGTTGTATGGTTTTTTTAATCACTGTGATACAATTGTTTTGTTTTAAGTTATTTCTTTATCTTTCTCAGCTTTTTTATATTGTTTATTTTTTTAATATTTGTAAATAAACAATTTTAAATTAATTTTGTTAATGATATTCATTTAAAATGAATCCAACTTAAAATGGCTCGGTTGCACAGAATGATTCTTAAATAATGGTGAATGGTCTATAATGAACATTAAAATAAATGAAATAAAATGTAAATAAAATGCTCTGCTGGGCGCAGCTTGATACCACTGCAGAGGTCGAACCCTGAACAGTTTGGGCAAGTATGGACACAACATTCAAGCTTGATACAGCACTGAATTTGGATTGTGATTAAATATTTGACACAGCATAGGTTTCTGACACAAAATGAATGTGGTCTAAGAACTTAAAAAAAATTTAATTTACCTATTCAAACCATATCATTATATTTTATTATTTGCTTTTATATATAAATCAGAAATAACCAATTTAAAATGGAAAATTTTAAAGAAAAAAAAAGGAAAAAAAGGAAAAAAAAATCCCCGACCAAATTTTTTGAACCCCCTTATGATTCATCATACCCAAACTCAATCCCAGCCTTCCCTTTGTGGTATGGTACCTTGCAGTACAATTTCAGAGAGATCCATACACTTAAACACAAGTTATTGTCTTGAAACTAGAAAAATGCTTGTTTTTTTTACCCTTTTTGGCCCCAAATTCCTAAACGTTTAGGGCAATTACCCCCAAACTCAAACCCAGCTTTCCCTTTGTGGTATGGTACCATGCAGTACAATATCAGAGAGATCCATACACTTGAACACAAGTTATTGTCTGGAAACTAGAAAAATGCTTATTTTTGGCCCCTTATTCCTAAACGTTTTGGGCAATTACCCCCAAACTCAATTCCAGCTTTCCCTTTGTGATATGGAACCTTGTAGTACAATTTCATAAAGATCCATACACTTACACACAAGTGATTGTCATGAAACTAGAAAAATGCTTGTTTTTTTTTCCCTTTTTTGGCCCCTAATTCCTTAAATTTGAGGCAATTACCCCCAAAATCAATCCCAGCATTCCCTTTGTGATATGGAACCTTGTGGTACAATGTCAGAGATCCATACACTAACACGCAAGTTATGTCTGGATGTTACAAAAATGCTTATTTTGGCCCCTTATTCCATAATTGTTGGTACCATAACCCCTAAAATCAATCCCAACCTTCCTTTTGTGGTATTGAACCTTATGGTAAAATTTCATAGAGATCCATTCACTTAAACTAAAGTTAGAGTGCGAAAACCAATGTGTCTTCGGACGACGACGACGCCAACATCAACGATGACGACAACGATGATGCCAACGTCATACCAATATACATTTTGCGGTCGTATAAAAATGAGGGAACAACAACTACAGGTACCATCTTTTGAAAATTTTGCTGAAAAAATGACTAAAGTTTCTTGTCAGGGAAAAATGGGTTAAAAGTCCTCAAACCATTTTTTGATAGCAGGTGCACAATTTCAATATTTGCACACAATCTCTTTGTGATGTAGATTGTGCAAAACTTGAAATCTCGATTCTACAAAAATGTATACTGTCTTTTGTAAATTTTGCTGAAAACTGATTGTGAAGTTTCAAAGTCCAGTAAAATGGGGGGAAAATCTTCAAACACTTCTTTAATAGCAAGTGCACAACTTCAATATAAGTGCAATATTTCGCAATATTTCTATGACGTTTCAGGGATCTGTGTTAAAAACTGTAGGAAGAGTATCTGGTAAAGGTTCGTGGGATCTCTTAGTTTTTGGCTTTTTACCTTGATTTGTATCTTCGTACTAGTAATAGATTTATGAGATTTGAACATTGGTAACACTACTTTTGCCTCTAATTTGTAAATGTCATTAGCAGCATGTCACTTGCTGAGCATGCATTTCTTTCCCTGCTAAAGCATCCAAATTTGTTCGGGGTTGATATTGATGTTTCTTGTTCTGCTATTTTATTGTCCCCAGTAGAAATACAGGGCGTCTGGTCTTGTAAACTCTCTCACGTGATATTGCCAGATATTTAGGAAATTTATATCAAAGATTTATATCAACAATGTCTGTCAAGTTTGAAAATCAGTGCTGATCAACTATTTTTAAGAGTTATGCCCCTTGGAAATATTAATTAGGGTTTATAGAAAATTGCATTGTAAACACACCCACACATACATTTCTTGTAGGATTGTCAAGAAATTTATATCAAAGGTATATATCAGCAATGTTTTTGGGTGAAATTCATAATTAGCGCTGATCTATTATTTTTACAGGAGTTATGCTTCTTTGAAATGTAATTTATATTGAACATTGCATTGTAAGCATTCCAACATCTACATTTCTTGTAAAGTTTTTATTAAGTTTATATCAAAGGCTTATATCAAGCAAGGTCTTGTAAGAGTGCCGACCAAATATTTTTCCATGAGTTTGGTCCCTTTGAAATAACAGTTAGTAATCTCATGCCTACATTTCTCTTAAGATATAAAAAGTGTGAAGGAACAAAAAATATTTTTTTTTTTTAGGTTATTACCCTTGGACAAATATGTGCAACACGGGGGACATCAGAACTCTGTTCTTTCACTTTTAATGTTTTGTTTACCATTCTTTGTTTTGATTTTGTTGTTGGGCTATTGTTGGGTCTGTTCATCTCACAATTATGGTTTTTGATAGCCCTCTTGGTATCTGGAATGTTATGAAATTCTTATACCTCAAAACATATTAAAGATCTTTTTTTATTTGTTAAACTTCAGTTAAAAAAAATAATTAATCCCTGCAACTGGAAGTATTTGAAGTATTTATTCTCTTTTGTTGTGACTTTAACCTTGATCTAAGTTAATGTTCTGACCTTTGAAAGATTTCCATACAATGTTAAATAGGTTAGGTTTGATAACATCCTTATTTAGACCCTATTCAAGGGAAAATTTTCAAATTAGGATTGAATGGTCATTATTATAATGTATCATAATTCCAAAGTTGATTAAAAAAAGAATAAAAAATCAAAATCCAGAGGATAATATACAAACAAGACTTATCATAAGCAGTGTAACAATGTGTATGAAACAAACAACAAAAGATGTAAATAGTGCAAATTTGAAGTAAAGCTTTCGGCTATATAAAACACCAAAACCAAGTGTGATGTCAAGTGATTTTGAAGGCAAAGTAGAGACACCAGTTAAAGGATGCGCCTTGTAATGTATGCTGCTGCTCTGAAAGCTAATCAACTTATTTAAATACTCAGATTCTAGTTCACAGGGAAACAGCCCTACTAGGATAAATTATTCTGACTCCCAAACAAACCAGTTCTGTCTCTTACTCCTGATTGCCATAATGCTTTGCAGAAAAGCAGCAAATACCAATTTTCAAAAGTGAGGTTTGACATGGATTAGGATTAAACCTAAAACTTTCCACACTCTAGGTGAATATTCTAAGAGACTGCCAAGGCAGTTCAAATAAAATTGATCGCTTGAAAGAAGTTTGTGTGGTATGGTATGACTGTATTACTGCCAATCTGGAATGAACAAAAAGGGCTGCACCCTCAGGGAAATAACCTTTTATGGTTGACAATTTTGGATATCCACCTTTTCCACTGGCCATTATTGTGTATAATTGATGGATGGTTAAATGATCCTTCCTTTTTTTTAAATTTGATAAACTTCTACAGACATTCTCTAAAAATAACAGACCTTATTCTAAACAAGATTGCTATGCAGTATTGAAATGAGCCCTGACTGCTGTGTACAGTTTTGAGATGTGAGAATGCTGCAGTAAGCTAATTTTGTCAAAGTCCCAAAAATCTAACAGAAATTGTCAAATCAAAATGACAGTATAGTATTGTCCCATACTTTCAAGAAAGAATTGTTAAATCAAAATGATGGTATAGTATCGTGATGACAAGTAATCCTTCCAAGTATGAAAGCTTTTCAAGCAATCTGCGAGTATAAGTGTGCTACTGATGGGCAAGACTATTACTATGGCCTCTGCTGTTCACAAGTTGTGGGATATAAAGAGGGAGAAGATACAAAAAACCAGGTCAAAGAAAAACAGAAACAAGAATGTGTCCATAGTACATGGATGCCCCACTCGCACTATCATTTTCTATGTTCAGTGGACCGTGAAATTGGGGTCATAACTCTAATTTGGCATTAAAACTAGAAAGATCATATCATAGACAACATGTATACTAAGTTTCAAGTTGATTGGATTTCAACTTCATCAAAAACTACCTTGACCAAAAACTTTAACCTTAATCGGGACAGAAGGACGGAAGGACGCACAGACCGTAAAACATAATGCCCCTCTACTATCGTAAGTGGGGTATAAAAAATGGAAAAGGAAAACATTATCAACACAGAAAACTAACCAGAGTGCACACACTGAAATGTCTCACCTGTTTAACTTATCATTGAATTCATGTTGTAAGTCTGTAATATAAAGGTTTTACTACAAGTAACATTATCAATGTTCTATGAAAATGAAGTCACTGTCAGATGAACCATACCAGACAGACATATACACCTTACAATCATTCCATTCACATACTACAGTGGTCCTATTGCAATTAGTAGCTGAGAAACAGATCAAACCACAAAACTTAACCTTGACCTATCACCATGAAATGAGGTCAAGGTCATATGAACCCTTCCAGACGTACACCTTACAATCATTCCATTCACCAAATATAGTTGACCTATTGATTATAGTTTCTGATAAACTAACAAAATCAGGAAATTTATCATTGACCTATGAACCATGAAAATGAGGTCAAGGTATATGAACCCTCCCCAACAGACATGTATACCTTACAATTGTTCCATGCACCAAATATAAGTGACCTATTGTTTATAATATCTGAGAAATAGACCAAACCACAAAGTGAATATTGGCCTATGAACCATGAAAATGAGGTCAAGGTCAGATAAAATCAGCCAGTAGGACATGTACACCTTACAATCAATCCATACACCAAATATAGTTGACCTTATGCTTATAGTATCTGAGATACTGACTTGACCACGTAATTTTAACTTTGATCACTGATCCATGAAATGAGGTTGAGGTAGTGGTCAGGTGAACCCTACCTGACGGACATGTAGACATTGCTAGGAACCCATATACCAAATATTGCTATCCTTTACTCATTACAAGTGAGTATTACACTTGACAAAAAAACTATTTTATAAGGTATCTGTATACAAGGTATGAAGCATCCAGGTCTTCTACCTTCTGAAATATAAAGCTTTATACAAATACTTTACACCGTCACTGGTTTGTAATCCCAATGCCTCGCATTCTGAGACTTTCGTCGCAGGTGAGACAAAAATTAACAGCGAAAACCCCATCAAAACTTGTGATGAACCCATGCGCTCTGAAAAGGTAAGCAGTTCCTGCTCTTCTAGAGCCATTACACTAAACTTAATGTACTGTTCTATATTCTAACTTGCACATTTTTTGTTTTTCTGTCAGATCATTAAAATGTGTACTCAAATGAACACAAGGTAATGTAATACATATAAACAAGAGTGCATACACTGAAATGTCTGGCCTGCTTTACTGACCATTGATTTTTTGTTGAAAGTCTTAAAGATTAAGGTTTTACTACAAGCATCACATAAACTTAACATGATTAAAGATACATGACAATGAGGTCAAGGTCAGAGGATACCTGCCAGACAGACATGTACACCTTACTATTATTCCATACACCAAATAGAGTTGACCTATTGCTTATGGTAATTAAAAACAGACCAAAACACAAAAAAAACCTCAAGACTGACCAATGAACTATGAAAATCAGGTCAAGGTCAGATGATACCTTCCAGACAGACATGTGTACCTTTCAATCATTTCAGAAACCAAATAGTTGACCTACTGCTTAAAGGTTTTGAAAAACAGACCAAAACACAAAAATATGCTTAGCCGAGCGTAGCTGGATACGACCGCAGAGGTCCAACCCTGAACAGTTGGGGGCAAAAATGGACACAATATTCAAGCTTGATACAGGTCTGAATTTGGATTGTAATTAAAGAACCTTAGTGAGTGCGCTCACATACCCCACGTCCCCAAATTGTCACTGGAGAAATAAAATAACTAAGAAAAAAAAATTGTATAAGAAAAAAAAATTGAATCATAATTTCCTGTCGATATGCACATCTACCTAGTATGTTCTTATTATCTACAAAGTTTCATGAAATTCTGTTGTGTGGTTTCAGAGGAGTTGCGATGACAAACTGTTGCAGAGGTATATTGAAGCAAATAAGTTAAAAGGGGCGTAACTCCTAGAAACAAAATTGAATCGTAATTTCCTGTCGATATGCACATCTACGTAGTATGTCCTTATTATCTGAAAAGGTTTCATGAAATTCTATTGTGTGGTTTGAGAGGAGTTGCGATGACAAAAGGTTGCAGTAGTATATTGGGCAAATAAGTTCAAAGGGGCGTAACTCCTGGAAAAAAAATTGAATCGTAATTTCCTGTCGATATGCACATCTACGTAGTATGTCCTTATTATCTACAAAGTTTCATGAAATTTTGTTGTGTGGTTTCAGAGGAGTTGAGATGACAAACTGTTGCAGTAGTACATTAAAGTAAATAAGTTCAAAGGGGCGTAACTCCTAGAAAAAAAAAGATCGTAATTTCCTGTCGATATGCACAACTACATAGTATGTCCTTATTATCTAAAAAGGTTTCGTGAAATTCTGTTGCGTGGTTTGAGGAGTTGCGATGACAAGAAACAGGACTGACGGACGGACAGACAGACGGACGGACGGACAGACAGACAGACGGACGGACGGACGGACAGACAGACGGACGGACAGACAGACGGACGGGTCAAAAACATTATACCCTCCGCAACTCGTTGTGTGGGGTATAATTAAATATTTGACACATTATAGGTTTCTGACACAGAATAAATGTAGTCAAAGAACTTGAAATTGGTTATATGATTTGAATTTATATTCAATTGAAGATTTCTTGCTGTTATGCAATACACTGTGCTGTTGCGCAATTCTTAGTAAATCTGTTTTCAGACTATATACAAAGAATTAGCAAAATAAATTGTGACCCCCAATTTTTTTGGGGGAAAATTGATAATTTCTTAAATCTTGAGGAAAAAAATCCCCCCCCCTCCTCTCCTTCCCATGTAGTACAATTTAAGAGCCATTCATACACTTAAACACAAGTTATTGTCTGAAAACTAGAAAAATGCTTCTTTTTGGCCCCTAATTCCTGAACGGTTTGGGCAATTTCCCCCAAAATGAATCCCAACCTTCTACTTGTGGTATTGAACCTTGTGGTACAATTTCATAGCAATCAAAATACTTATACACAAGTTATTGTCCTGAAACTAGAAAAATGCTTGTTTTGGGCCTCTTTTTGGCCCCTTATTCCTAAACAGTTGGGACCATAACCCCCAAAATCAATCCCGACCGTTCTTTTGTGGTATTAAACTTTGTGTTTAAATTTCATAGAATTCCATTCACTTATACTAAAGTTATTGACTGGAAACCAAATGTCTTCGAATGATGACGACGTGATAGCAATATATGAACGCAAATTTTTTGCGGTTGTATAAAAACTTTACAATGACCAATGAACCATGAAAAGGAGGGTAAGGTCAGATGATACCTGCCAAACTGACATACCCCTTACAATCATTCCATACACTACATATAGCTGACCTACTGCTTATAGTATCTAAGAAACGGACCTAATCATTTAATTTTAACCTTAGGTGAACTCTTTCTGACGGAAATGTAGACGTTGCAAGGTACCCATATACCAAATATAGTTTTCCTATTACTTATAATAAATGAAAAATTCACATGACAAAAAAACTTTAATCTTTTTTTAAGCAGGTGCTCAAGCATGAAATTAAGGTCAAGGACAATTGATTTTTTCAAGGCTAAAACTGTGGTCAGGTCATTAAAGATTGCATATTTTGGCGTTAATATTGATTCACTTATAGGGTCTTTGCATCGGCACTAAACACATTTATTTAAAAACCAGTTGTTGGCATGACACGGGTTATGTTCTTCTCATATATGTTATGATGGTATGATACTAAACCCCTAACGGGAAGGATTGTGTCTGATATTCATATGATGAAGACATAAATCTTTCAATCAGTTTAATTGAAGTCTGGAGCTGGCATGTCAGTTAACTGCTAGTAGTCTGTTGTTATTTATGTATTATTGTCATTTTGTTTATTTTCTTTGGTTACATCTTCTGACATCAGACTCGGACTTCTCTTGAACTGAATTTTAATGTGCGTATTGTTATGCGTTTACTTTTCTACATTGGCTAGAGGTATAGGGGGAGGGTTGAGATCTCATAAACATGTTTAACCCCGCCGCATTTTTGCGCCTGTCCCAAGTCAGGATCCTCTAGCCGTTGTTAGTCTTGTATTATTTTTAATTTTAGTTTCTTGTGTACAATTTGGAGTTTAGTATGGCGTTCATTATCACTGAACTAGTATATATATTTGTTTAGGGGCCAGCTGAAGGACACCTCCGGGTGCGGGAATTTCTCGCTGCATTGAAGACCTGTTGGTGACCTTCTGCTGTTGTCTGTTCTATGGTCGGGTTGTTGTCTCTTTGACACATTCCCCATTTCCATTCTCAATTTTATTTTCATTTTTTGCCATGACAGTTAGTTTTGATTTATGAATTTTGAATATCTCCCTGAGCACCTGAGATCACCCCAGGTTTTTGATGGGGTTCGTGTTGCTCAGTCTTTATTTTTCTATGTTGTGTTTTGTTTACTGTTGTCTGTCTTTTGGTCCTTTTCTTATTTTGCCATGGCGTTGTCAGTTTATTTTCCACTTATGAGTTTGAATGTCCCATTGGTATCTTTTGCCTCTCTTCTGGAATCTTCTGCCTCTCTTTTTTTTTTATCTAGATATTGTATGAGAACTTTTGAGATGGCATTAATTCCTTGAAAAGAATAATTATTCAATGAATTCAGATCAATTGATCTGAATGAATATGGCCACTTTTTATTAAAAAGTCAACCAGAAAGAGAATAAAAAGATTTTTGTTTTCAAAATATATTGCACTAGTAAAACAGATATATCATGAATTAATATCACAGATCTAAGACAAACAACAAAAACCACTATTAGGTAGAGTATCTTGGTGATCTAGACTAATGTTAATAAGTCCTTCAGTAATCAGAACAGGTGAAAACAATGCTCTTATCAGCCAAAATCAATTGTTGTGTAACTGGTCAATAACGGCAAGAGTGAAGTCATTAGTTGTAGAATGACCGCCAAGATCCTTGGTTCTAACCTGAAAAAAAGAAAAGAAAAAAAGTAATAGTTTAATTTACCATGTGTGTAAAGTGGTATATTTTTAGTGCGAAAGTTTGAAACAACTTTTTATGTTTTTAACTTTCATTTTTTCAATATTGCATGTGATAATCAAAAAAGAATTGTATTTTTAAATATGCACCTCCTCCTAGCCATTGGATGATAAAAACCAACAATTACCTAACCAAAGTAGGCAGTAGAGAGCTTATAGAATGCTTTTACTAGTGACCATAAAACCATTCTGATTTAAATGTTTACAATAAATAATTAAAGTTAATAAGTTTACAGAGAACCCCTTTAAACTGAAGAGATTAGACAGACATCATGGATATTCAGCTAGCTAAGGTTGAAATTACTTAGGAATATCATAGCATGTCCTGATACTTGAGGACAATGAAGAAAGGTTATTGCTTCAGGTAAGTTTTACTGAAGTTAAAGATAAATTTTATATGTCTTTGTATTCAAAATACTGTAATGTTCTCCATTTCAGACTTATCCCTGGGTTTGTACTTACATGAGCAACACGAGTGTGCCACATGTGGAGCAGGGTCTGTCTACCCTTCCAGAGCACCTGAGATCACCCGGTTTGTGATGGGGTTCGTGCTGCTCAGTCTTTAGTTTTCTTTGTTGTGTTTTGTATACTGTTGTTTGTCTTTTGATCTTTTTCGTTTTTTGCCATGGCGTTAATTTATTTTTGACTTATGAGTTTGAATGTCCTTTTGGTATCTTTCGCCTCTTGTTTTCAAAGAACAACTTACTTTTGCTGCTTTGATAACTCTATGTACAGCATCTTCTATAACCTTAGCATGGTAATCCAGATGTATATGTTTCAGCATGTTACAACCACTCAATAGTACTGCTGTTGGATTGGCTATGCTCCTACCTACTGCTTCTGCAAAGGCATGTCTAGCACCCTGACCAAATAATTATCGTCAAAGATATAAGAAATTCACAAAACAACTAGGATTTTCATTAGAAACTTGCTTTAGCAAAAAAGCTAACTTTGATCACTGAATAAAAAAAAGTAAAGTCAAAACCAAATGACTTCTGTCAAAGGACATGAATTACGTAGGCCTTACAACCATTCTATAGATTGAACATTGTTATTTATTTTTCATAGTAAATAAGAATCTAGCTCAACCACAAAAACTTCATGTTGATTTCAGTAAGTCATTTAGCAATGAAAATTAGGACGAGGATATCAGAACATAAGCCATATATAGCTATAAATACAAAATACGGATTGTCTAGCTTCTACCTTCTGTGATATAAAAGTTTTATACAATTTGATAACACAGTTGCTGTGATTAACATACTGATGTCTTGAGTTCTGCGACTTTAATCACAGGTTGCCAAAAAATATACTGAGTTCCATACTTTTCGCTTAGGAATATGCCTATACAACTGTCCATCATTTCATAATTGACTAATTAAATCTGATGATGCAAGACTGTGTTTGATGGTATATCAAACTACTAATTACTTCAAAATTAGATGTATTTACCTGTTCAAACATTGCTGAGTCCCGACTATAACTTTCTCCGGGTACTACACCAGCCCCACCCACCAGACCAGCTGCTAGGTTATCAACAATATTACCATACAAGTTAGGCATTACCATTACATCAAACTGGTGAGGATTTGACACCAACTACAATAAAATATCATTTGTAATAGTGTAATAATAAATTGTTAACATTTTAACCTTAGGGACCTAACAAAGTAATCCAGTTTTCCGATCAACTCTCTTACTGTGCTTACACAAAAGGATCTGCGACTCATTTCTCAAAAAATTTTATGAGCAAAAATACTTGTAAGTAATGAACATTTCCGTTAAACTTATGATCAGTATTACAGTGTTCCAGCTAGGATTTCAAAAGGGCAGGGTGCCAATCCTGAAAAAGGGCATTTAATGCGTGATATGATAATATGAAAAGGGCATGTTTTAATAAAGATTATAATCAAACATTGTTTGTTCATTGAATCACTGGTTATATATATACAAGAACAACATCATTAGCCCAGAGAAAAACTATCTTTCTACTTTTTAGGCTGAAAACTTATCAATCAGCTTGTCACACAAGTTTTAAATCATTGCTTGGCACAGTTAAGCTTTATATGCAGTATTTTTTGAAAAATGTCCTGCTTCATTCTGTTTCTATGGTCTGACACACTTTACAAGTTTCACCTTTCTACCTTTTATGTGATTAATGGCAATACAGCACAAAACAGCTGTAAATGCACAATGTTAGAATATAATGAACAGTGAAAATTTGGATTGAAAATAAAAAATACAGAAAATGATGACTAAGGCACCCTACCAACCTTGCTACTAAGACCCTCTTTAACTTTTCCCATGACTCAAAACACCTAAACATATTAATTCTAAAGCCAATAGTATGAAGACATATTTTATAATATCTTAGTAGGTTACTCGATGCTAGGAAAAAATAAGATTGAGTTATCTTTCTTTATTTGGGTGTGCTCCTTCTTTGGAGGATAATAAACAGTACGTAGAAGATGTAAATACGATCAACAATATGGCGGCCGATTTTGTTATTTTCGTATAAAAAATGAAGGCAGTCAATGAAAAATACGTCTTAATTTGCTATTTATTTCACGGAAAACAATAAGAGCAATGTTTTTAACGAGTTGATTATGGTTTTCGACTTTCTGTCAATTACGTTTTCTCCATGAAACTACGGTAAACATTGCTAATTGTGCCCAAGTTGTATGAACATTTCTTCAAGTTCAAAAACAAATGCAGACTGACCGATTCTATTTGAATGAATTAATGTTGATGATCATTAAATGACCCATCCGATAAACAGATTACCTATAACAACAGATAATGACACCTGTTGTAACCGTTGATTAGCTTGGGGTCGTAAACAAAGTCATATACTTGTCGCCAGGTAAATTTTCGTAATTGGCTGATCATATACGAACAAAATAATATACCAATCGATCTTCAAAAAAGGCAGGGCGCCCTGCAATCTGTAAAAAGGGCACAGGGCGGCACTCAGGAAAGGGCGGACGGACCGCCCTGTGAAAACCACCTAGCTGGAACACTGTATTAGTTGTAAGATTTTTGTGAAAAGGGCCCCTGCCCTTTCACAGTTACAATTGGCAATATCTGGTCCCAAATTACAGTTTGAATTCATCTCTTTTTAACTGATCAACTTGTGAAAAATCTTAGCCATTGGTAAAGTGAAAGGTTGTAGGTGTGAATTGAATGCAGTGTAATAAAACATTTTCTTACTATCCAATTCAAGTAGTTGACCTCTTTCATGAGAATGTTGGATAAATACTGAACACCTTACACCATGTTATCAGGAACATTATTTAAGATTTGTTTTACTTGGATATGAAAACTACATATAAAAAGAAGTTTTATACATAAATAGTTCAAAATTTCATTTTATTGAGCAATGAATGTTCGCTTTGTTTCTTGACAAAAAATTATTATATACTTCTGATTTGAATATTTTTTCTTTAGTAATTACTGAAGTATATAAGCCAAAGGGAGATAATCGTACAGTAAATTCAATATGTAATTGCAATGTTAGGCAAAACTAAGATTATCTCCCTTTCAAATAATGTTTTCTATATTTTGAAATGGACTTTTAAGTTTTAATTGATTTCTCAAACTGCATTTCTCACTAATGAAATGAACCTTGCCTACCTGCATACAACAATTGTCAATTATCATATTTTCAAATTTTATTTTAGGATAGTAACTGGCAACTTCTTCACAACACTGTAAAAATAATCCATCACCAAGTTTCCTGAAAAATATTTCTAAAACCTATATCGTCCTATAAAGTATTACTTTACACATTAACAGACTTCATGTATGTCAATCCAGATACTGCAGATTCATTATTTGTAGGTTACTCATGTTCATGGACTTCTAGAGAATAGCTGAACCATGAATTTAAGAGAGTTCAACAAAAAACAATTATCCAATATAGACTTGTATTTAAAATTTGTAAATTTAAGTTTATATGAAATATTTATTTTTTCCACAAAGTACAAAACTGGGTACCCAACATAATCAAGAAATCTATAGTACCCTATTCTTTCTGTAAATAGCAAGAAATTAACAAATTCAAACTTGAACACATGTTTCAATACTTCAGCTAATTGTTAACAATATGAAATGTATTTTCCCCAGCATAAACCTTTTGAATTAAAAATTATTACGGCAAAATATTTTTAAAGTTTAAAAAAAACATCCCAAATTTTTAACAAATACTAAAACAGTCAACCTGAAAGTAAATTTCTATTATAGTTTTGCTGCATCTGGTATGAAAATGAACTGTTCACAGGTTTAAAATAAATATTCATATATTTAAAGCAAAAAATATCAGGAAAAAAATATGATCGATGGTAAGTAATTGGACAGGCTGGGATGAAGGCCAAATAATGAAGAGACATAAACTATGGGTTAAGCATGTGCATTAAAATTTTGTCATTTACATATCCTTTTATTTGTTTGCTAGAATCTGTCTAAAATCAACTTTTAGTTATTTACCTCTCTTCAGTGTGAACTTGTCTTTTGTCAATACTGATTGTCATAGAATATATATTTTGGTTTTACTTAATTCATGGCGTTTTATATATGCTTAGAAGTGTTTTTATTTCGTTTGTTTTATCTTTAATAGTTTTCTGTTATATTGCAAGTACTATATATCTATAAAATCTGTAAAACAATGGTAGATAACATAACATACATACATGATGTTAGCTTTGTGTACAGCTGTTACTTTGTTTCTTTTATGTCTCATGGCATAGTCAAAAGCAAACTTGGCAATTCTCATTGACTTTTCTCTTGTTATGATTTTTAAACATTCTACTACACCTTTCACACTCTGAAAAATTAAAACAATTGAACACAAGAATCAAATGATATACAATGTTTAAACATTTATTAGTAAAAATTCTAAAATTAGTCATTTTATTTTGTGAAACTTAAAATAGTTTGACTATTATGTTAATTTTATTGACACATGAACAGGCTGGTATAATCTAAGTATTTAAGTATAGAAAAGTCACATGTATGTGATGTGGTTTTGACATCATTGACATGTCGGATTGATTTCTAATATTCTGCTTGCGTTAATAAATTGTGATGAAGCAATACAGTTGGGTTTTTTAAAATATTGTTATATTTTCCATTGATTTGTACCTTTTTAGGGATAATTTTACCATATGAATGTGTAGAATATCGAATAAACAGCTGCACCATGAGTGCATGATACGCCCGTCGCTTTTTCAAAGAATAAAGTTCAATAACTTCTCAATGTTATATCAGAAATTTATGAAAAACTAAAGGGAGGTTATCTTAAAAGATATAAACCAGTCACCAAAGCACTTTGAAGATATTGTCCGAAAACGGGAAAATCACCCATTTTTTATGAATAAAATCCCATAGCTCGGAAATGTAAAATCTAAAATTTATAAAAATTGAAAGGGAGCTCGAGTCAATAGATATAAACAATTCACCAAAGTTTCATGAAAACTGCTGAAAGCATTTTTGAGTTATTGTCCGAAAACTGGAAAATCCCCCTTTTTAAAAAAAAATAAAATCCCACAACAGGGAAACGTAAAATCTAAAATTTATAAAAATTGAAAGGGAGCTCACATCAATAGATATAAACAATTCACCAAAGTTTCTTGCAAATTGGTGAAAATGTTTTAGTGTTATTGTCCAAAAACTGGAAAATCACCCTTTTTTAATGAATAGAACCCCATAACTCAGAAACGTAAAATCTAAAATTTATTAAAAATGAAAGGGAGCTCACGTCAATAGATATAAACACTTCACCAAAGTTTCATGTAAATTGGTTTAAGCGTTTTTGAGTTATTGTCTGACATGTTGACGACGAACTGAAGGACAGACAACGGTATACCATAATACGTCCCGTAAACGGGCGTATAAAAACGCATACAAATAAAATTAAAGTTAAGTAAATACCTCATGTTCTAAAGCACTGTATTCTCCTTCTGTCTGTTCTCTTATTATAACAAAATCTAAGTTATTATGTTTGGTCTTCAATCCAGGTAAACTTTTAATAACAACAACATTGGCAAATAAATCTAATTCTGCTCTGAAATTATAAAATCAATGTTATACATTGTATTACACTTATACATGTCGTTCTAATGTCAAATCTAAACTGACTGAGGAAACTTCTTACACCATATAAAACCAAACATGTGTTAACCAATTTCCTTGCAACTTGTCAGTACAATTAAAATTGAAAGGCTCCAAAATCAATATTTATCAAGTGATACCCTAAATTTACTAAAGTTCCACATAGCAATTTTTGTGAATTTTTTTTATGCAAATGTTAGCTTTGTACTTTTCGACATTATATATATCAGCATCAAAACTTTTATATTCAGCTGTGGTAATAACATACTTTTTTATATTTTGCATTATAAGTATTATTCTGACTTTTACCTGAGTTTCATATTTAGTGTCTGTAATATTCCACCTTTAAATTGAGAAGGAGTTGTGATAATGCCTTTAATACCAACACCATTTCTTTTGAATGATTCTACAACTGTATCTAAACTAACACTCTGTCCCTGTTGAACTTCACTGTAGTAAAACAAAAATAAATGGGGAATGTGTCCTTGGGACACAGATGAAGCCCCCGCTTGCATATGTTATAAAGGGACATAACTCAAGAACTGTAAAAGTGACACTACCCAAAATTGTACTTGATCTGAGTTTTGTGGTAATAAGCATTGTGTATACATTTCATACTATTTAGTTGAGGCAAACTTAAGTAAGAGAACGGAAACGAAAAATTTAGCAATTTTTCCATTTGTAAAGGGGCATAAATCTAGAACAGTAAAAGTGACGCCACCAAAATTCAAACTTGATCTTTGTTTTGTGGTAATTAGCATTGTGCATAAGTTTCGTAACATTTGGTTGAGGCAAACTTAAGTTAGAGAATGGAAACGAAAAATTAGCAATTTTTCCATTTGTAAAGGGGCATAACTCTAGAACGGTAAAAGTGGCGCCACCAAAATTCAAACTAGATCTGAGTTTTGTGGTAATTAGCATTGTGCATAAGTTTCATAACATTTAGTTGAGGCAATCTAAAGTTAGAGAACAGAAATGAAACATTTAGCAATTTTTCCATTTGTAAAGGGGCATATCTCTAGAACGGTGAAAGTGAATCCACCAAAATTCAAACTTGATCTTTGTTTTGTGGTAATTAGCATTGTGTATAATTTGCATAACATTTGGTTGAGGCAAACTAAAGTTAGAGAACGGTAACCAATATTGGGATGTACGTACGTACGGACGGACGGACAGGGGTAAAATTTAATGCCCCCTCCGCTACGGCAGTGGCATAACAAACATAGATTGAGTTTCATAGCAAAAATTTTATAACTTTGACAATATAATTTAGTTATGGTAAAATTAAACAAGAATTTGACTTACACCTCCTTCAATCTGTTTCAATTGGTTTTTTATCCTGTTTTCTTTGTATCAAATAGGGAAACTTTAGCAGTAGAGATGTGAATTTTTTTTCTATATAAGATTTCTTTAAATGATTTTCCAGAATATTAATATGTTTCTTGAATCTTCAGTAGCTTTCATTGACGTGTGGCTGTTTATGTATTCTTGTGCATGCTCTAAAAAAAAATTCCTTAAACAATTTGATTTTTAATATTCGGTTCCTTTTTCTTATATAAACATTCAGAATTTCAAAGTTCTACTAGCTAAATGATTTTTCTATAATTGTTGTGTTTGATTACCTAAGAAAATATTCCTCGAATTCTATTGGTACACCTGCATGTGTAAAGACATCCCTTAAACTGCTCATCATGTCTGGTCCCACTCCATCTCCAGGAACCAGTGTAGCTACTTGTTTCCCTACTGGCTTAGCTACTGGACTGGCCTTAAACATTATATTGGAGAGAAAATTACTACATTTGTATTTTACAAAACCTGAGATCAATGCAAGGTAAAAGAAAAAAGCAATTGTTTTTCTTCCCCAGTTGACAAAAGTTTTTATTTTAAAGGTTTTTAAGATTTTAATATGCTTGATAAATTAATGTCAAAATAAAGTGTGTTATTGTACCAGAAAATGTTTGCAAGGTACATGTAGATATCCCAAGACACAACTAAAAGCTATTTCCTTGAAAATTCACTAAAATTAAGTTATCCTAAAATTTTGATCTGCTTTTAAATTCTCAACTGAATACTTATTTTAACAAAGGAAAAGCATAAACATGTAGTGCTTCTGTACATCAAGACTTACTACACTCTGACACACAGGAAGTGAACCGTGAATACACCTCTCTACATTCTTCACAAGATCTTGTTTCTGAAAAATAAAAAAATAACAGATAAAAAAAATGTAAGCACAAAGAAACAGTGTAGGTTCTACAATGCCTTGAGCAAATCAAATTAGAATATCATACAAAAACACACAATCTGACGAATTATACCTTATAGCAGTATATTCAAATGTATATAGGGTTTTATATAGTCAACTGCACATGATGGAAAACAATCCTTCGAAGCTTTCTTAAAATGATCTCAGAAGAGTTGTGTTGACCATGTGACACTGTTACAATACTCCAAAAATAGAAGTCCCCCAACACCTGAAAAATGGTCAGATCAAAGTGGCAGTATAGTACAGTTAAAGCGAACATGTTTCCAAACTCCATACACCGCAATTATTCACGGAGTGACACCAGGAAACTCCAATATCCCTCCCTAAATTCTCGGAGAAATTTGGGAGTATTCCCTCCAACTGCGGCGTAAATTCGCTACCTTTTGTTTATTGTATTAGCGACATCTCTCCCAGCACAGTGTCACACCGTGTCACACCAGGTAATTAATTGCCCTAATCCTTCTGATCTATGCCGGCACGCGACAGTCAGGGTATTTGAAATTCTTATGTAATTAAACAATTGTATTTCCTGTCTATTTATAATCAAGTTATTTGTCTAATTGCTTGAAACAAATAAATGATTTAAAAGCAAAATGTTGTCTTTAATTCTTCAATTGGAATAAATAGTTTTATTAAAAAAAATAAAATGCTCCGCTGGGCGCAGCTTGATACGACCGCAGAGGTCGAAACCCTGAACAGTTGGGGCAAGTATGGACACAACATTCAAGCTTGAAACAGCTCTGAATTTGGATTGTGATTAAATATTTGACACAGCATAGGTTTTCTGACACAGAATGAATGTGGTCTTAGAACTTAAATATTTTTAATTTACCTATTATGGTCCAATATCCAAAATCTAAATACATGGTTAGATTCAGCATATTAAAGAATACAAAGAATTCAATTTTTGATGAAATCAAACAAAGTTTAATTTTGGACCCTTTTGACCTCAATGTGGACCAATTTAATAACGGGGCCCAAAAATCAAAATACATGGTTAGATTCAGCATATCAAAGAACCCCATATATTCAATTTTTGTTGAAATCAAACAAAGTTAAATTTGGACCCCAACTCGGGCCAACTTGAAAACTTGGCCCATAATCAAAAATCTAAACACATGTTTAGATTCAGCATATCAAAGAAACCCAAGAATTAAATTTTTGTTAAAATCAAACTAAGTTTAATTTTGGACCCTTTGGACCTTAATGTAGACCAATTTAAAAAACGGGACCCAAAATTTAAAATCTAAATACACGGTAAGATTTGGCATATCAAAGAACCCCAATAATTCAATTTTTAATGAAATCAAACAAAGTTTAATTTTGGACACTTTTGACCTCAATATGAACCAATTTGATAGCGGCCCCACAAATAAAAAATCTGAATACATGGTTAGATTCAGCATATCAACGAACCCCATATATTCAAATTTTGTTGAAATCAAACAAAGTTTACTTTGGACCCCAATTTGGACCAACTTGAAAACTGGGCCCAAAATCAAAAATCTAAATACATGTTTAGATTCAGCATATCAAAACCCCATATATTCAATTTTTGTCAAAATCAAACTAAGCTTAATTTTGGACCCTTTGGACCTTAATGTAGACCAATTTGAAAACTTTGTGAAATCAGCAGAGTCAAGAGAATATGACCGTCGACAGACGACAAATAATTCTACTACGAATGAAAGCTTTATGTCAAAAGGTAGGCAGACGGATGGACAAAACCATTATTATATACCTCACGTCATGACACATGAGGACAACAAAATTGTGTTTACAAATCAGTCAGGGGTGCTACTTAAACAAGTGATTTCATCATCACTTATTTCAGTGATTTGATAATTTCAGTTATCACCTATTTAAGTGATTTTAGTGTTTTCTTTGATCTTCAAATGCTAATTTCATTGCTTTTCCATATTTTCACAATCTTTTCTATAATTTTCCTACATAAATCAATTATCCCTTTTTCTTTGTATATTAATTTCACCAGTGCGCTTGGGCAGTAAGTTAGTGCGCTAAAGCTTTTAAAAGTACCCTTGGGAATTTTTCTGTAATCAAAAATTCATTAACTATTCTTACTATCAGACAAAGATCAACAATATTAGGTAACCTGATTGGTTTTCTTTAGAGTTAGAATGATCTACTTCAAGGTTATGACCTGATCTACAAACTATTCCAGTTTTTGCATATTTTAAAAAAACTGTAAAAGTGTCAGGCTTATCAAGCAAAAGACAGTTTCTGCATGTACATAGTTGTTTTTTCAATGGAATTGTTGTCTTTTTACCAATAAAAAAATCAAGCTTGTGGGAAAAATATCAAGAAAATGTTATAAACACTTATTAAAGTGATTACATTTTAACTTCTAAAATTACTTGTTTCAGTGATTTAAAAAAGTCTGTGTGAAAATTTTTAATATTTCACAGCCAAAATCACTCGAGGAAGTGATTCTGAAATCACTTGTTTAAGTAGTACCCCTGACTGCAAATCAAATATTTATTATCTTAAGGCAAAATATTACTGCAAAACATGTCATTTACGATGCTGGCTGGTAATTTTGTCTGTCTTACATTAAGTTCTGAATATTATTTAATTATATCAATGAGTTAGGTCTCAATTCCATATTTGTTCCTTTTTGGCTACATGTCCTATCTTTTCTAAACAATAATATAAGTACAAGAATCATGCAAATAAAAAGAAGAAAAGGGGTTATAAGCTCAAAACAGCGAAAATACATGATCTTCCAATTGGTGCTTTTTCCCATAAAAATTTGATGTCACAAAGCAAATGTCTTTAGGTCACAATTTTTTATGACACATTTAATTTCCCCCCAATAGACCCAAGGTCAACCAGGGCAGTTCATTCATAAATCGAAATTGGAATCTCGTGTATAATGTGACCTATGAAAATGTTATCACCCACTAAAAAATAAACCCATAGGAATTTCCAAAAATTGGCAGGTATGTTGGACATGGCTGCAAAAATAATCTCCCACAGCCAAACAGAAGCATTATTTTGGCAAGGTTTAAATCATAAATGTCGGTTGGAAGAAAACGAAGGTGACCATATTTCTATAGTCATGATTGGGGCACAGGGGTTTGTTACAATTTGCCGGGTTTACTATCCATACAAACCTGTTTTTTACGGGGTTCGTATGGATAGTAAACCCGGCAAATTGTAACAAACCCCTGTGATTGGGGTCAGCAAAATAATTCATTGTTTTTTTGTTAAACTAAACAACTTTTTTATCAACTATTGTGCCACCATTTTCATCATCAGAAAAGTAACCAACACCTTAATATGAGCAAGGCCGTTATTATCTTAATTATGAATTATATTTCTACTGCTGGACAGTTGTTAGGCAGAGCCAGAGGACACACAGTAAACCGGTAAATCCGATAGCTAATTATACTGCATGCAGTTGAAATAAGGATATAAAGTTTGTTCAGAAGCTACAACTCTAACATATCCTTAATAAGTAATACAAATGTGAGACTTCTTTCAGCGTACATTTTTCAAAAAACGTGAAAAAGACTGGACAATCACTGGCTGTGTCCTTCTCAAGGAAGCTGCCATCTTTTTTCGTCACAATAGACTATAAATCGTCCCAAAGTAAACTCGTCACATTTTTATTTTTTAATTCGCTTAAAATTTGCAAATTCATTATTGAATTAAAATGAAAAATTGTTTTTGTTATAAAAGTCAACTGTCATTAAGAAAAACAACTTGATCAAACTTACCATTTTAACTTGTGACAAAGGAAATGAATAACAGACACCAAGTGTCGACTTTAAAGTACCGATGCCAGTCCTTTAATTGATACAACTGAAGACCACAAAGTAAATTTGGCGGGAATGTAAGATGACAGTTCATTATATTTTCCCAGTTGGTGGCAGTCCATGGTTAAAGTCTCCTGAAGAAACTGAAGTCAACAGTTCAGAAATATCAACAATTATCTCAGACACTGATCATATAAGTTTAAGTCTTCTATTCCAAGCAGCAGTTTCCTATGCTTCAGAGGAACTAGATGTGACATTTATTTGCCAGAAACCACTTGTCACTCTTCCTAAAACTGTTCATGGAATGCCACAGCCTGATGCCAAAACCATTGGCACTGTCAAATTCTTGTATTTGTCTACAGTAGAGGAGTTAACAGAATATTGTTCGTCAGTTCATCTCAAAACTGTTTTGCCAGATATCCTTATTGTGTCAGATTTTCACCATTATCTGAGTGAAGGACATTCTTCCCTTGGAGAACACACAGCTGCTAAATTGTTAGCACTTATCTTAGATGCATTCTGTTATATTAAGAAGAAAAAGAACTCGTCTAATCATGCCCTGTTGATGTCGTGTAATAGTTCTATTAAATGGATAAGTTCAGTTGCTAAAAAAATCAATTATGCTGTTTTGAAATTGACAGAAAGTGAATTTAAGGAAAGCCATTTAGAGTGGTCACAACAAAATAAACACTATTTATTGAAATTTGTGTCAGAGGAGCAATTATTCTTGAAGCATTTAACAGTGAAAGAAGCATAATTCAATAACTTAAATAAGTTTAAGTACCTTGTTATTTTTTTATGATTAATAGAACTAGTGTCTATATTTATATTTGTGTTGATCAATATAATAAAAAAACCTGAACAAAATAAAATCACTATTGACTTGATTTGATGCGTATTCAACAAGAATGTGTCCATAGTACACGGATGCCCCACTGACACACTATCATTTTCTATGTTCAGTGGACTGTGAAATTGGGGTCAAAACTCTAATTTGGCATTAAAATTAGAAAGATCATATCATAGGAAACATGTGTACTAAGTTTCAAGTTGATTGGACTTCAACTTCATCAAAAACTACCTTGACCAAAAACTTTAACCTGAAGGGGGACAGTATCATTTTCTATGTTCAGTGGACCGTGAAATTGGGGTCAAAACTCTAATTTGCATTAAAATTAGAAAGATCATATCATAGGGAACATGTGTACTAAGTTTCAAGTTGATTGGACTTCAACTTCATCAAAAACTACCTTGACCTAAAACTTTAATCCTGAAGCGGGACAGACGGACGGACGAACGAACGGACGCACAGACCAAAAAACATAATGCCCCTAGGTGGGGCATAAAAATGTAAAATACTTTTTATGATAAAATTTTATATGACATGTATGATGTAAAGGTTTAATGAAAATTTTATATGATGTAAGCTTAGGTTTAATGAAAATTTTAACCATGTGTCAACAGTGGCAGAATCAGTATTTTGAAAGAAGGGACCACTTTTGATATAAAATAGTATTTATACTAGACTAGTAAAAAGTGAAAGGAAAATATAATGACTGATAAAATAGATGTATATATGCATCTGCCAATTTTATTCTTATAAGAGGGACCTTCCTTTAAACCCCAAATAGTTAACTCAGTTTACAAAGAGATTCAAGTTATCATGTGTAGTCTAGCTGTTTTGTTCATTTCAGTTACCCTCAACTTGGCCTCAAGACTTAAATTCCAGAAGAATCTGTGTCATTTACTCTGAAATCAATATCATAAGCTTAAATTCTGACACAGCTGATAAAGATGTCACTAAAAACTGGACATTGCAAATTTCTGGACTACTTATCAAGCTTTGGTTTATATTCTGACACAATTGATCACTTAATTTTGAATCAACTTCATTACAACTTTTACTGGCTTAATTTGCACCAAGGGAAAAACATGCTTACCTTTTAAGTGTACCTACATTTTTAATATTCCCTTTTTTAATGGAATTTTGCATTGCCCAAGCTTCAGTTTTGTCTCATTTCAACATGTTGTTTGTGTGCAAATGATTTTGATTAGTTGTTTGCTGGTCTTGTCTATTTTGATTGGTCCAGTTTTGTAATATTCTGTAGATTTTTCACATGCTGTGCTCTTCTATTCTCTACTGACAACTTATGCATATAGATAAGAATATTGATAAAAATCTGATGATAGTGCACTTTTCAAGAAATTGCAGATTAAATTATTTCAAATTTTTGCAGAAATTTTGGATTAAAGATTGCCATGAAAAGCAAAAGTTTCATGAAATATCAATCAGCTAATAACATCAGCATTTCATGAAATTTGGATTACAAATGTGGTTGCAATATACATGCATGAAATAATCTGACATCAGCAAATCAGAATTTATGGTTATGAACAACAATGTTCCATAAGAAAAACCATTTTTGCCACTCTTGCAAGACATAGGAATACTAACCTTAGCTTCAAGTTAGTTTTTTGTATAAAGCTTAAATTTCAGATGGTAGAAGAGCTGGATGATCTATATTTTGTATACAAAGCCATGACAAAGGTCTGATGTTCTGTCAGGCATGTCTTTGTCACTTTGACCCCATTTTCATGGTTCAATGAAAAACTTTTTTATCACTTTTTCAGCTATTTTGAGTAATTAGTCAAGTTACTAAGTCAACTATATTTGGTATATAAAATCATTGCAAGGGATGCATGTTCATTTGACCTCTACTTCAATTCATGGTAAAATGGTCAATGTTAAGTATTTGTGATTTGGTCAGTTTCTCAGATGAAGTAATAGGTCAACTATATTTGGCATATATGTGATGTACGATATTGTATTGTAAGGTGTACATGTCTATCTGACAGGGTTCCTCTGACCTTGACCTTATTTCATAGTTCATTGATCAATATAAAGTTTCAGTGATAAGACCTTGCACTCATTTTCATAGTTAAATGGTCAACATATGTTTTTTGGTCACAAGTACAGTTTCTCCGAAACTATTAGCCAGAGATCAACTATATTTGGGATGGGGACATATTTGTCTATCAGAGGGTAGGCATGCCCTTTACCGTCAGGCGTCAAACGGTCATTTTCGACTACCGATAGCATCAAATTGGTTATCAGGATTCCTCAAAATACCCTTATCATGAATCGTCAGAGGTCTCAAATAATTATCGTTACCGTTATTTTTGGAAAAAAATTAACGTGATTTGTCAAAATCAGTAGATTTTTTTATCGTCAAAAAGAAAGTACATTTTATCGTCATGAACCAAAAATTTTAGTATGGGTTATATGTCAAATATATTTGGTGTATAGAATAATTATAAGGTGAACCTAGCCTTTTGAAATGGTTCATTTGACCTTGACTTCACTTTTCATAGATCATTATTATGTTAAAAGTTTTGTGAGACCTTGATCTCAAAAACTGAACATAAAATAATTAATAATCAGAAAAGGCAGCAGCCCTTTTCAGTGTTTGCACTCTTGTTAAAGTCTGAGAGAATACATCTTGTCCCCTTGTATCTTGGATTGAAGTCATCTGGTATCTGCATTAAAAAACTGTAGACCTGCTAACAAACAGTCATTTTGAGTGGATTTCCCTTTGTTAGTACTTAAAAAAGCTTATAACTGATCATAAATCTTCACACTGAACTGTACAATTAATTAATTATATACTTCAAATTCAGCAGAAAATGACTAAAATCATAGTGCTTGTGAGCACTGAGGAGATAAGGATTGCTATCATTGAAACACTGCTTGGTATTGTGCAAAGAAACATTGAAGCAATACTTTGCCTTTTTCCCTTTGTCCATAAATTTGGGTAGAACATATATGCCCTATTATAAAATGCAACTTGTGTAATTTTTTACATGGGCATGTAAAGGATATACAGAATGTTCACTTTACTGCTCTATGCTGAGAGAACTTAAAAAAAAAGGCAGTGAAAACTGAAATATAGCTAACCAGACAGTTACTATAGGGATGTCATACAATTTGTGCAATCTTCAACCCACAAATTATAAGCCTCTCAATATCCTGGGTAATATTAAATGTATCAAATTCTAAATATTAATGGTCTGATGAAAGTATTTCAAAATACTTCTGTATTTCTGTACTTAGAAATAACACCCTTAAATATAATCTGATCATCTGAAGAATGTTAAAAATCTAAAAGTAAATAAAGCACTTCTATTGTGGAGCATAACTCTGCTAGAAATTGAAATGAACTGGGCTAATGCAACAGCACATAAAAAATCACTAGTTTTGTGAAAGTACTTCTGTACAAAGATACCTAATAACTCTGCTCTTAACAGTGTCACTCACCAGAATCTGTGAATCTCTCTCTAGCACTGTAGTCTAGTATTTAATTTATGACTAAATTCTTTTTTGTTGATCTTGTATTGCTGTTCTTACTGTATAGTATACAGTTTATTTCTGTCTACTATAGATTTTGCCCAAAACGCATAAAATTGATAAAAATTGTCATTAGAGGGCAACACCTCCTGGAAGAAGTAGAATGACAATTTCCACCTTGTTGACCTTTTTGTAGAACTTGTCTTGGTAATCATTTTTGCTTTTTGCAGTTTCTCTCGATCTTTTATAGTTTATCCCCCAAAACTTTAAGAAAGGGTAAAAATCATTATATAAGAACTATCTACTATAGATTTTTCCCGTAACACATAAGGGAATGTTGACCTATTTGTAGATTTTGTCTTACTGATCATTTTACTGTTCACAGTTTGTATCTTCAATATTTTTGCCAAAACGTAAAAAAAAGGTAACAAGAGGGCACAAGCTGAAATGTCTCTTCTTTTACTTTGCTTATGATTAAATTTATGTTGAAAGTCTGTAATATGAACGTTTTACTACAAGTATAGCATTACCAATGATCCATGAAAATGAGGTCAAGGTCATATAAACCCTGCCAGACATACATGTACACCTTACAATCATTTCAAATACCAAATAAAGTTGACCTATAGCTAATAAACTGACAAAACCATGAAAAATTAACATTGACCAATGAACCATGAAAATGTGGCCAAGGTCATATGGAACCTGTCCAACACACATGTACACCTTAATTCATTCCATACACAAAATATAGTGGCCCTATTGCTTATGGTATCTGAAAAAAAGACCAAACCACAAAAACTAAACATTGTCCAATGAACCATAAAAATGAGGTCAAGGTAAAATGAAATCTGCCAGTCAGACATGCACACCTTACACTCATTCCATATACCAAATATAGTTGACCTAATGCTTATAGTATCTGAGATATGGACTTGACCATGTAAACTTAACCTTGATCACTGATCTTTAAAATAAGGTCAAGGTGAGCTGAACACTGTCTAACAGACATGTAAATATATGACTTTATTGAAAGGAAGCAATAAATCAAGTATAGCTATCTTATTACTCATAATAAGTGAGTATTTCACATGACAAAAAAACTATGTTTTTTCAAGCAGACACTGAACTATGAAAATGAGGTCAAAGACAATAGACATGTGACAGATGGAAACTTCTTTACATAAGGTATCTGAATACAAGGTATGAAGCATCCAGGTCTTCTATCTTCCGAAATGTAAAGCTTTATACAAATAGTTTACGCAGCCACTCGATAGTAATCCCTATGTCTCACATACTGCTTCTTTTGTTGCAGGTGAGACAAAAACTGTCATTTAAGGACAATAACTCCTATAAGAAGTCCACTGACAACCAAAATCCTGTCCATATACATATCTATAGTAAATGAACAACTGCAAAATTTGAAAAAAGGTGAACAATGTAATTTTTGAGAAATTCAAGAAATTCAAAAGTTTGTCCTTATACTAAATTCTTTCATGGGCCTTTATACCTATATTGTAAGTAAACACACTTGCGACACAA